ACTCTATCACAATAGCCCTTACACAGCCTGGATGTGTGTTGGGTCATTGTCCTGTTAAAAAACAAATGATAGTCCCACTAAGCGCAAACCAGATGGGATGGCGTATTGCTGCAGAATGCTGTGGTAGCCATGCTGGTTAAGTGTGCCTTGAATTCTAAATAAATCACAGACAGTGTCACCAGCAAAGCACCCCCACACCATCACACCTCGTCCTCCATGCTTCACGGTAGGAACCACACATGCGGAGATAATCCGTTCACCTACTCTGCTTCTCACAAAGACATGGCGGTTGGAACCAAAAATCTCAAATTTGGACTCATCAGACCAAAGGACAGATTTCCACCAGTCTAATGTCCATTGCTTGTGTTTCTTGGCCCAAGCAAGTCTCTTCTTCTTATTGGTGTCCTTTAGTAGTGGTTTCTTTGCAGCAATTCGACCATGAAGGCCTGATTCACGCAGTCTCTTGTGAACAGTTGATGTTGAGATGTGTCTGTTACTTGAACTCTGTGAAGCATTTATTTGGGCTCCAATTTCTGAGGCTGGTAACTCTAATAAACATATCCTCTGCAGCAGAGGTAACTCTGGGTCTTCCTTTCCTGTGGTGGTCCTCATGAGGTCCAGTTTCATCATAGCGTTTGATGGTTTTTGCGACTGCACTTGAAGAAACTTTCAAAGTTCTTGAAATTTCTCGGATTAACTGACCTTCATGTCTTAAAGTAATGATGGACTGTCGTTTCTCTTTGCTTATTTGAGCTGTTCTTGCCATAATATGGACTTGGTCTTTTACCAAATAGGGCTATCTTCTGTATACCACCCCTAGCTTGTCACAACACAACTGATTGGCTCAAACACATTAACAAGGAAAGAAATTCCACAAATTAACTTTTAACAAGGCACACCTGTTAATTGAAATGCATTCCAGGTGACTACCTCATGAAGCTGGTTGAGAGAATGCCAAGAGTGTGCACAGCTGTCATCAATGCAAAGGGTGGCTACTTTGAAGAATCTCAAATATAAAATATATTTTGATTTGTTTAACACTTTTATGGTTACTACATGATTACATATGTTTTATTTCATAGTTTTGATGTCTTCACTATTATTCTACAATGTAGAAAATAGTAAAAATAAAGAAAAACCCTTGAATGAGTAGGTGTGTCCAAACTTTTGACTGGTACTGTACATATATATATATATATATATATATATATATATATATATATATATATATATATATATATATATATATATATATATATATATATATATATATATATATATACAGGGGCGGCCTGTTCAATAGGGCGATATGGGCGACGCACTGCCAAACGGGAAAAGGAAGGGATTTTTTTTTCTAATCAATTATATCACGGCAACAGTAGTTATCAGTGTTGTAATCTATACGTCTGATCTGCCACAGTGCCACACTGCCACTAAATGTCGAATCAGGCTAAAGTCGTGCTTCAAATGGCTCCCCCCCCCTTTTGGGGCGATTTCAGTCAGGTTGAAAATCGCCCAGAAGTCTGTAATAGACTCCCATGTAAAATCTATTTTTTTCAAATTTCAGAGCCTTCAATACAATCTCAATGGGTGTCTGTGGGCTTGCACTTACGCGCTTTCGTCATACGTTACGTAACCATGAACGTAACTGAGAAAAGAGTGGATTGTTTGAAAGAAGTTCCTTTTTGTCGGCGAACAAATGGAGATAAATTGGCAACGAAACAATTAGGACCTCCCAGACCAAATTTAATAATTCAACAGGTTTCTACTAAAGGCGGAAAGTCCTACACCCGAGGATTTTCCAAAAATTGGTACGAACGAAAAAAGACATTGCCACTCACTCAACTGGATGACGAGGGATACAGGCTAGCTGTCCGCCGCCACAACGATGAGGTTAGTGTTGATAATCACAAGTTTACTGGATGTGGATATGGTGTAATAAAGGCAGTTTATTCAGAGGTAAATATATCTGGAATCGCGTTCACGGACCCGTTCGTCAAACTCTTAGGGAGCTATAAATTAAGCCCCATTACTTACCATATCAGATAAGAGAAATTGCTGCAGCTACATATATTTTACATCCTGGCCCTACATAGTTCACTATTTGCATCACTTACCAAAATATTACATGTGGTCATATATGCTTGGAAAGTGGAGATGCCATAGAACGTCAAAAAAGTAAACATTGCTGGAGACACATTGCCGTTTTGGAGAAGACATCGCGTTTGCTAGCGAAGAGATTTGTTGTGGCAAATGAACTTGGGCTGGGAATTGCCAGGAACCTCACGATAAGATATATGCATCAGCATTGCGAGTCTCATGATTCTATACGTATTGCGATTCGATACTGTGATTTTATTGCGCACCATATGTCTGTTGCAGAGCGATCAGAAAGCCATGAGAACGAGTTTTGATCAGTCATGGAAATAAAAGTGCTGAAAACAAATTTGCTCCCAATGTGAAAAGATTGAGAACAAGCTATGAAGGAACAATAATGGTGTTTTGGTGCAGGTACAGCCAACTAGCGCTAAAATATTGCGATATTGTCAATACAGTATATCGTAAAGTATCACTATGTAACTCGATTTCTTTCACCCCAATCCCTCAAATTAACGGTAAATAACTGAATTGTTTGCCCCACATTTAGCTAAGATGATTAGCTAGCCAGCTAAAATGTTTTATTTAGTTAGCAGTCGCATCTACAATAGTTTACTGTCAATAACATGTCTCCAAAAATGACGTGGTGTCTCCAATTGTGTTGACATTTTACAATTGCAATGCGCATCCATGAGTATCCACTTTCTGTAGCTCAGCTGGTAGAGCATGGTGCTTGTAACGCCAAGGTAGTGGGTTCGATCCCCGGGACCACCCATACACAAAAATGTATGCACGCATGACTGTAAGTCGCTTTGGATAAAAGCGTCTGCTAAATGGCATATTATTATTATTATTATTATTATTATTATTATTATCTGAAGAGAGCCCCGAAACATTGTGTGCAGACATTTTATGCAATAAATGAAGTAGGTTCAATCTAGTAGTTCTGATCTTCTGATTGGTCCTGATGAGTTGGGCGAGGTCCCCTGCAGGCTACTGTCACTGTTGCATTGGCTCTGAGTCGGGTTCTCTGTCTTCAAATGTTCAGCATAAGAGAGGGGATTTTTGTGTGTGTGTGTGTGTGTGTGTGTTTAACAGTGATGATGTGTGTGTGTGTGTGTGTGTTTAACAGTGATGATGTGTGTGTGTGTGTGTTTGTGTGTGTGTGTGTCCTCAGAGCAAGAACTCGTGAGTTGGAAGAACTGAGAGGCCTATGGCGTGGGTGTTGTCCTTGGCCACCTGCTGACAAGGCTGACAAGATAGGACCCTTTTGTCCATTGTTATTGGATAGGAACAGAACTTATAACCAGCTCCTGACCTAAATAGATCTTAGCACAACATTTTACTCAACATATCATATTCCATATTCACTATAACAAATATATTTACTACGACATTAGCAAGAACCGCCACATCCTCAGCCGGCTAATCCAGTGTGTGAAGTTTTGCGGAGTGTTTGAGTTAGCTTTGCGAGGCAAAGATGAAACTGAGGGCTCCACCAACCCTGGTAAGCCAACACTTTTGAGATCAGTCAATAAATGCTTCTGGTATTGACTTATATGCTGCCCCTGTCTTCATGTTGTTGCTGGACATATCTTTTTTTAAATGTGTGTAGGTCACCTAAATCATCAGAAAAATTGCCCCTCCTGAGAATTTTTTCAGGAGCCGCCACTGTATATATATATATATATATATTTGCAAAAAAATATATGGGGGATTGGAAGTGATGCAGGCAATTACATTGATGGAAGCTACAATCTATCAATCTTAACCTCTACAGGATCGGTTGTAAACAACGCCAACTTTCCGGGACATAGACATGTCTTATGTGGGCAGAAAGCTTACATTCTTGTTAATCTAACTGCACTGTCCAATTTACAGTAGCTATTACAGCAAGAAAATACCATGCTATTGTTTGAGGATAGTGCACAACAACAAAACACTTTTGTCACAGCAACTGGTTTGATACGTTCACCTCTGAAGGTAAATAATGTACTTACGTTCAGTAATCTTGCTCTGATTTGTCTTCCTGAGGGTCCCAGAGATAAAATGTTTTGTTTGATAAAATCCATTTTTATATTCAAATGTAGGAACTGGGTTCTACAGTTTGACCCCTGCTGTCTCTGAAAAAATTAAGAAAAAACACGTTTTTCTTTGTTTGTATTATCTTTTACCAGATCTAATGTGTTATATTCTCCTACATTAATTTCACATTTCCACAAACTTCAAAGTGTTTCCTTTCAAATGGTACTAAGAATATGCATATCCTTGCTTCAGGTCCTGAGCTACAGGCAGTTATATTTGGGTATGTCATTTTAGGCCGAAAATTGAATAAAGGTTAAAAAAAAAAAAAATTGAAAGAGGGTCTCAAAGGAGCATAGGGGGTTTAAAGGGTGTGTGTCTCAGCCACCAGATCTCAACCCAATTGAACACTTATGGGAGATTCTGGAGGGGCAACCTAGACAGCGTTTTCCACCACCATCAACAAAACACATGGAAGAATGGTGTCGCATCCCTCCAATAGAGTTCAAGACACTTGTAGAATCTATGCCAATGCGCATTGAAGCTGTTCTGGCGGCTCGTTGTGGCCCAACGGCCTATTAAGACACTTTATGTTGGTGTTTCCTTTATTTTGGCAGTTACCTGTATATCCTTGTTGTTTCATGCTTGGTGCAGTTTTCTTTACTTCACCGATACCGATGCTTTGTCCCCCATTCTACGGGCCATTCTTCATTGTGTGCACCCATGCGTGAATCTGTGCCTCTAGGGCACACGGGATGTCTGACAACCCCCCCATGAGCCGTGCATAGCAAAGGGCAGCAGAAGTATTAGTGTAATCTATTATACGGTCCCTTTCTTTCTTTCCCTGTCTCAGTTTCTCTCCTCTCCTGCATCAGCACTTCATGAGAACGAATGAGAAGTGGAGTTTAACTACGCACATTCCTGGGCCCCCATGCAGAGCCCAGCACTTTCTCAATTAGACAAGAGTCCATCCGTCCTGCCGACGGAGCTATCCCCCCCCCCCAACCCAGCCAAATCCCTCACCTATCTATCACCTCGCTCGCTCACACACAGACTAGTTCTCTCCTCCATCAACTCTCTGCTCCAGTAGACTGTGTATATCACTGTGCAGCACAGACAAATCTGGAAATTGGACCAGAGGCATATTTGTATGCACATACGCACACACTTTGTCAATTAAGATGAATACACAAATCAATCAGGTGGGACTATTGTTCTTAAAAAGGTCAATTGAGGCAGATATAGGCTCCCCCCTCCCATCCCTTATTCCCTCTCACGCTCTCCTCCTTGGCTCCACCTCCCAGGGAAGCAGAGGGACACAATTAGGGAGGGGGGATAAGGAGAGAGAGAGAGCAAGAGAGAGACTGGGGGGAGAGCTGACTTGTGTCTAGAATCAATCAGTTGTTTTTCTCTTCCACTCACTCACTGCATTTTTCCAGACGGCGTGCGCGAGCTTAGGCTCTGGACTTCGTTGCCTACCCCCTATCTCTCTGTCCTGCTCTCTCTCTACCCTTCTTTCTGACTAACTCATTAATTCCTTCTGATGCTTTGTGGAGGCGAATTCCTGCCTCTGACTCCAACCTTCCTGTCCGTTCCTCCTATTCTCTTATCCCTATATCCAGGAACCTCCAAAGCCGGTCTGTCTCAGCTGTGCTCTTCTCCTATCCCTATCCATTAGAAATGTGGTGCTCTGTGGCTCTGGTTGTTTGTGGATTCTCTGCTTTGGTCCAGGGTAGGTCTGCCTCTCTTTACTCTCTCTGACTACATTGTAAGATTAGAGTTACAAAGCCAGAGGGAAAGAATAGGAAAGGATCACTGGAAAGGAGGAGAGGACGATTGAGAAGTGTCTGTGTATGTGTGTGTGTGAGTATTTTTGTGTTCTCTAAGTGTTTGTGCTCTTGTTTTATGTTGGTCTGTGTGTACATGCCTACCTGTGTGCCTAGTGAATACAGAAGTCTACAGTTATTCAGGACCTGATGTGACGTGGTCCTCAATGTAAAATACATGTTGTCTGTTGCAGGGACAGACAGAAAAAGAAAGAGAGAGAGTTGGTATATAAAGCGAGAGAGATGGGGAGACATGCTTTATTCGAGAAAATGCTGCAATCATAAATTTCACAACCTCCCTCACCCTTTCACCCTCTATTTTCCCCAAAATCTCTGTGGACAGAGAGTGCAGTATCAATGGGATTGAAGCAGCAGGGAACAGACAATTATCAATGGTGGCATGTCAATTGAACATCATTATAGATCTGGTTCTATCTTGCTTCCTTGTTATGTTGTTATGTATGGACATGTTGCTGCAGCAGAGAGAGCAGAGTAGCTGTATGCAGCAGGAGAGATAGGTTGCTAAGGGAGAGGAGAGTTATTATTACATTATATCAGAGGCTGCCTGTCCTGCAACTAGGTAAAGAGCTACTGAACTTTCCTCTCAACGCAAAATCATGAATAATTTCCTGACTGTAACTTTTGTAGAGATTCTTGTTACTTTCCCGGTGAAAAATGATTAATTAAATGTCTCCTTGGGACTATTGACACACAGTGGTAAAGGATAACAGCTAGAAGTATACAGACCACTGAAAGAGCGCTTAATATCTGTTTGTACACCAAATGGATCTGAAATGACACGCAACAACTAAACACATATAGGGCAAAATAGTAGGACTAAGGTCATGGGGTTATGAGGTTAAAATATAAAAGCAAATACAGCAGACAAGACGATACAAGAATATGCTAAGTCAACATCTAAAAAATTTAAAACCCACAGACTTTATAGCTGACACACCGGTAGAATTGTTAAACGTTTGCCTGCCCACAGTACTTACTTAGCACCTCTGAACAGAGTGTCGGCAGTCAATCTCTTTTGTGTTCACACAGCATAGACCTTGAAGTCGTCAGCCACTGAGCCTTGTTAAAATACTCCAAACCAGAAGGTGGAATTAGCGTTGTTTGGCAATGCATGTCTGTATGTGTTTAACTAGCTAGCTAAGGATACTACTCTAACTCGGCAGCCAACACGGGCAGCTGTTTCATGGAAACTTTTATTATAATGTCAATACTAGCTACAGTTGGAGATTGGAGAACACATTGGGAGGGATCTTAGACCATTCCTCCATACAGAATCTTTCCAGATCCTTGATATCCTTCATTTGCACTTATGGGCTGCCACCTTCAATTCAAACCACAGGTTTGTCCGAAAACTGTTGATTTTGTGGTCAATTAACCATTTATTTGTGGGTTTGGATGTTTGCTTGGTGTCAGTGTTTTGCTGGCAGAAGCAACCAGGTACTGGCAGAAGCAACCAGGGTTTTGACTAAAATGTCCTGGTACTGCGTAAAGTTCATGATGCCGTTGACCTTAACAAGGGCACCAGGACCAGTGGACGCAAAATAGCTGCATAACATTAAAGATCCACCACCATATTTTACAGTAGGTACAGGGTTCGTTTCTGCATATGAATCTTTATTTCGACGCAAAACCCACCACTGGTGTGTGTGGCTAAAGAGCTCTATTTTCATGTCATCCAACAAATGTAAATGCCTGGAGTTTGCTAAACGGCATTGGAACTTGGATTAGAACCGGTGCTATGGTCAGATGACATGAAAATAGAGCTCTTTGGAAAGATTCTGTACGGAGGAATGGTCTAAGATCCCTCTAAGATGTGTTCTCCAATCTCATAAAACATTTTTGAAAAAGGCTCATTGCCGTTATCCTCGCAAGGTGAGGTATTGAAAGGTATTGAAAACAGGGGTGCCAATAACTATGACCCCTTTCTTTTTTAGATGTATTTCTATTACTTGTTAAACAAAACATTTCTCTGAGCAATTGTACATGTATAAAATAATATAATTTCCCAAATGTTTTGAGCATACAATATAGCTCAGTATTCGTATAATTTATTTTATACATTATTTTTTGATCATTTTTATCAAGGGTGCAAATAATTTTGGACCTGACTGTATATAAATGAGTATAACACTTTCATGAAACAAATCCCTTGACCATCATGCCTTATTCAATGATTCACACACGCTTACTTAAATTTGTAGTGCTTCAGGGGTTTTACATTTCCAAACCTGCTTGATTATTCATCAATTAAGCCAATTAAGCATTGATAAGGTGTGCTTACAACTTTCTCAGAGGTTCCTCTCATCCTCCACTCATTTCCCCTGATTCTTCCTCTATTCTTCTTCATCTTCACTTATCCCACATACCTTCCATGCCCCCGTCTTTTGTCTATATCGCCTCTCTTCTGAAATCTTCTACTCTCCTTTTCTCTCTTTCCTTCCATCTCCCTCTCCTCCCTTCTTCTCTCAGTGTCGTTTCAGGGCCCTCACCAGAGGACCCTGTTGAAGAACCTTCTGAAGGACTACAATCGTATGGAGAGGCCAGTGGGCAATGACTCACACTCCCTCACAGTCTTCTTCTCTATCAATCTGATGCAGATCATGGATGTGGTAGGGATCAATGTTCATATTACATTTATGTTGTTTTATCTGTCTGCTAGTCAGTACATCGACCGGTCTGTTGGTGTCTTCGTCTATACCTGTGCAGACTCTGCTCTGTTAAAGTAAATATTCCACTGCAACTTCAATACTTACACAGAATTATTTGAGGCAGGTCTCTCAATATAGCTCCTCAGAATACGAATTGACTCAAAATGATTTACATCTTATAGGATGAGAAGAATCAGGTCCTCACCACTAACATCTGGCTTCGGATGGTAAGCACAGCACAGCTTCAAGTGAACAGCTGTCGGAGTGAGAGTGAATGTATTGTATCCTTCTCAGTGGACCTTCTTAGTTATATATTCAGTTGAAGTTGAATTAAATTGCCATGTCCAATATATCCAGCCTGAGTCTGTCTTCCAGAGCTGGTTTGATCATTATCTTCAGTGGAACCAGTCTGAATACCCTGGAGTGAAAAACCTTCGGTTCACAACTGACCAGGTGTGGACGCCAGACATCCTCCTCTACAACAGGTAATACACCTATGGTCATATTCACGTCGTCATGCATCACATGCATGTGTTTTATGGTTTTAAAACACTACTGTCCAGAGTTTGAGCCACCCTTTCCTTTCTCTTTCCTCAGTGCAGACGATGACTTTGACTCCACCTTCAAGACCAACGTGCTGGTCAACTCCAGTGGCTTCGCAGAGTATCTCCCTCCAGGTGAGTCCCTTTCTCTTTCTATCTTTCCTACTCTGTTGATATTATATATATATACAGTGAGGGAAAAAAAGTATTTGATCCCCTGCTGATTTTGTACGTTTGCCAACTGACAAAGAAATGATCAGTCTATAATTGTTATGGTAGGTTTATTTTAACAGTGAGAGACAGAATAACAACAAAAAAATCCAGAAAAATGCATGTCAAAAATGTTATACATTTATTTGCATTTTAACGAGGGAAATAAGTATTTGACCCCCTCTCAATCAGAAAGATTTCTGGCTCCCAGGTGTCTTTTATACAGGTAACGAGCTGAGATTAGGAGCACACTCTTAAAGGGAGTGCTCCTAATCACAGCTTGTTACCTGTATAAAAGACACCTGTCCACAGAAGCAATCAGTCAATCAGATTCCAAACTCTCCACCATGGCCAAGACCAAAGAGCTCTCCAAGGATGTCAGGGACAAGATTGTAGACCTACACAAGGCTGGAATGGGCTACAAGACCATCACCAAGCAGCTTGGTGAGAAGGTGACAACAGTTGCTGCGATTATTCGCAAATGGAAGAAACACAAAATAACTGTCAATCTCCCTCGGCCTGGGGCTCCATGCAAGATCTCACCTCGTGGAGTTGCAATGATCATGAGAACGGTGAGGAATCAGCCCAGAACTACACGGGATGGTCTTGTCAATGATCTCAAGGCAGCTGGGACCATAGTCACCAAGAAAACAATTGGTAACACACTACGCCGTGAAGGACTGAAATCCTGCAGCGCCCGCAAGGTCCCCCTGCTCAAGAAAGCACATATACAGGCCCGTCTGAAGTTTGCCAATGAGCATCTGAATGATTCAGAGGAGAACTGGGTGAAAGTGTTGTGGTCAGATGAGACCAAAATGGAGCTCTTTTGCATCAACTCAACTCGCCGTGTTTGGAGGAGGAGGAATGCTGCCTATGACCCCAAGAACACCATCTCCACCTTCAAACATGGAGGTGGAAACATTATGCTTTGGGGGTGTTTTTCTGCTAAGGGGACAGGACAACTTCACTGCATCAAAGGGACGATGGACGGGGCCATGTACCGTCAAATCTTGGGTGAGAACCTCCTTCCCTCAGCCAGGGCATTGAAAATGGGTCGTGGATGGCTATTCCAGCATGACAATGACCCAAAACACACAGCCAAGGCAACAAAGGAGTGGCTGAAGAAGAAGCACATTAAGGTACTGGAGTGGCCTAGCCAGTCTCCAGACCTTAATCCCATAGAAAATCTGTGGAGGGAGCTGAAGGTTCGAGTTGCCAAATTTCAGCCTCGAAACCTTAATGACTTGGAGAAGATTTGCAAAGAGGAGTGGGACAAAATCCCTCCTGAGATGTGTGCAAACCTGGTGGACAACTACAAGAAACGTCTGACCTCTGTGATTGCCAACAAGGGTTTTGCCACCAAGTACTAAGTCATGTTTTGCAGAGGGGTCAAATACTTATTTCCCTCATTAAAATGCAAATCAATTTATAACATTTTTGACATAGTGTCTGTCAACAGACTGTCATAGTGTCTGTCAACAGACTGTTGGATGCGACAACTGACGAATAACTTTGTTTTGGTGGCAGATTTTTCATCACTGATCATTTGGATATATCATGATTTCGCAGGTGTTCGCATCTTTCGAATTTCTGAAGGGGAGGGGACATTTGGCCCATAGACTTGCCCATAACTTGCAGAGGGAGGGGGGTGGAGCTACCGATCTGCTACTGCTGTTTGTTCTAGTATCTTTTCTAACACATCTGCCCCAAGAACTTAATTGAGCATCTGACGCAATTATGAAAGATTTTAGTTCTGTGTTTCTGATTATTCTTAATTATGACATCAATATTGGATATGTTTGAAACAGCATCCTCAGCTACTGTATCAACAAATCCCAAGGTGCAGTGTTTCTTCTATATGGGAGATATTTACCCCTCTCATATTTTAAGACCAAATTGGTTGAATCCTCTCAGACTTCTCCCCCAACCCCACATTAAAGACTTCTGTGATCCAGTCCCTTGTGCCAGACTAAACCGAAATGGCCTTTTGAAGTCAAGTCAAGGAATGGGTGCAAAGAAATTCCATCATTTCTTTTTCAGTGGATATGTTTATTTATAAGGAGGTGTTGAATGTAAACACAGTTGGCTAATTAAATGTTGTCAGCTGAACCAAAGCCAATTTAGAGGGGGCGATATGGGCTGTGTCCCAAATGGCACCCTATTCCCTATATAGTGCACTAATTTTAACCAGGGTCCAAAGGGCGCTGGTCGAAGTAGCGCACTATGTAGGGAATAGGGTGCCATTTGGGACGCAGTCATGATGATGCTGTGCATGGAGAATTGAGTCTGTGACACACACAGGAGGCTATACTATACAGATTATCATAGATCTGATCTGGCCTCTCATCATAAAAGCCTGTGTAATTACTGGGGTCCATTTGGCCTGGAGATAAAAGACTATGGGCTCTGTATGCCAGGGAGTGTTCGGGAGCTTGACTCCTGGGTAAATAATTAAACAGCAGCAACCCTCTGGAGCTCTCGGTGGTTGGTAATGTTTAGGAATAGTTTTCATAGCTCAGATGAGATATATGATATAGAGCTTTAGGTGGATGGTAACGTTTGGAAATAGTTTTCATATATAGCTCAGATGTGATGCATGGTGTATTGGCGGGATGGTGTCTAAGGCAGTGTTCCAAATGGCACCCTATATATGGAATACGGTGCCGTTTGGGACAAACACTAAAGGAAAGGAAGGAAATAGGTTTTGAAGGCTGGGGTGATCCATCTTGTTTCTTGTGCAGAGGTTGTTTTTCAGGGAATTGTCCAGAGTTTTAAGATATACTTTATTTTTAGGAGTAAAGAATCTTGAGATATTGGTTGCATTTTTAGAGGACATTTTGGTCAAGGATTGTTGCTTGTCGGATCAGCTTTTAGAGTAACCTAATTGTTAGCTTAGAGGATCTGTTACAGAGCTGCAGGAGAGCAGTGAATTGCAAATGGAAGTAAATGTAGCTTTTAGCTAATCAGTTTAGTTTTAGGTTGAATGAATCTTGAGAAAATAATGAGTTATTACAGAGCCCTTACAACTGCACAAAGAGGTGCAGTTGTAAGGAAATTGCATGAGTTTTGGTGAATTGTATATTGTATTTTGGACTGTTCATTGTTGACAATTTCACGGCTCAGAGACTATAAAGCAATGCCATTATGAGCGTGAAAAAACAACTATTGAATGAAACTACATTTTAAGTCTTGCATTGGGAATTTGATGTTTATGTGAAGTTTTATAATCAATGCTGGATTTAATTTGGTTTGATTGTCAACTTCTAATCCATTAAAATAGCTTTTCAGCCCCTTCTCTGTTTTTCCGAAGTTTTTTTCATTTGCATGTCTTGTGACTCATAATGAATATTTCTGAGTGCTGTTTGGAAGACTACTTTGGCATTTTGGTTGCGTGCACTACTGTAAAACTCAACAGGCTTGATTTGTTCATTTCAGTAATTGCTTTGCCAGCGATCTCTGTGTGCATCAGTTGTTTAGTACTTTTTGTTTCCGTGTGTATGTGTGGTTCCCTCTGTGTGCATCAATTATGTAGTACTTTGTGTGTCCGTCTGTGTGTGTGGTTCTGTATAATGAAAAAGTTGGTCTGATTATAGTCTGGATAAACTGTCTGCAGAGTAGAGATCAGTGCCACTTTTTATATTTTGCACTCTCTGGGTGCGTCCCACCAATATATCTTCTTTCTCCTGAAGTATAGACTCATTCACTACTTCCCACAAATCTAAAAGCCATTGGATTGGTGGAGGCAGGGGCCGGGCTAGAGGGAATTTACACCAGTAATTTCCTTTAAAATCAGTGAAGGAAAGTGAACAAGTGCACACTTTGGTAATAGGGAGAGATAATTGGGACGTAGCCATTCACACTTGTACTGTTTAACTATGGTTAAGTACTGATCCCTCCTCCAGAGTGCTTAAAAATAGGTGCCAGAACAAGAAGTTACAGTATATGCAAAGTAACATTTTTTGAAGTGTAAGTGAACAACAAGTAAAATGTCTAACAGTCTCCCACTGTATGGGGTGTCTACACTGAGTGTACAAAACATTAGGAACACCTTTCAAATATTGAGTTGCACCCACTTTTTCCCTCAGAACAGCCTCAATTCGTTTTGGCATGTACTCTACAAGGTGTTGAAAGCGATCCACAGGGATGCTGGCCCATGTTGACTCCAATGCTTCCCACAGTTGTGTCAAGTTGGCTGGATGTCCTTTGGGTGGTGGACCATTCTTGATACACATGGGAAACTGTTCAGCATGAAAAACCCAGCAGCGTTGCAGTTCTTGACGCCCTCAAACCGGTGTGCCTGGCACCTACTACCATACCTCATTCAAAGGCACTTAAATCTTTGGTCTTGCCAATTCACCCTTTGAATGGCACGCATACACAATCCATGTCTCAATTGTCTCAAGGCTTAAAAATCCTTCTTTAACCTGTCTCCTCCCCTTCATCTACACTGATTGAAGTGGATTTAATAAGTGACATCAATAAGGGATCATAGCTTTCACCTGGATTCACCTGGTCAGTCTATGTCATGGAAAGAGCTTCCAAATGTTTTGTACACTCAGTGTATACCTCCCATACTTCACTCTTTGCATCCCTTTTTATCAATCTCTTTCCCTGTATGTCAGGGATTTTTATGAGCACATGTAACGTGGACGTACGTTGGTTCCCCTTCGACATCCAAAAGTGTGAGATGAAGTTTGGCTCGTGGACGTACGATGGCTGGCTGATGGACCTACAAATGAATGAGGCTGACATCTCCGGGTACATGTCCAACGGGGAATGGGACCTAGTGGGTGAGTGGGATTGGACTGCCCTCCTAACTTTCTTATCAATTGCTCAACTTAATTGTCAACTCAACTTGAACTTGTATGGAAATTCCCTCTTTATTCTGTCCCTTAATTTATTATTTCTTTCTTTCTTTCTTCACTCACTCAAGGAGTACCAGGCACTCGTAGCGAGGTGTTCTATGACTGCTGTAAGGAGCCCTACCCCGATGTGACGTTCGTTGTGACCATCCGCCGGCGCACTCTCTACTACGCTCTAAACTTGCTCATCCCCTGTGTGCTGCTGTCCTCCATGACCCTGCTTATCTTCCTACTGCCTGCCGACTCTGGGGAGAAGATCTCTCTGGGTGAGCAGAGAGAAGAGGGTGGATGATCCAAGAGTGATAGACTATTAATTACTTTATTTTTCTAAAAGGAACAGTGAGATGAGAGGATGGAGGACAGCAGCATGGAGAGGAGGAGAAGGGGAAAGCCATTGGAGAGTGAAGGGAGGAATAAGAAGAGGATGGGAGGGGAATGATGGTGATGTGGAGAAAAGATGACAGGGGAGGGAGAGTAGATTGATTCTAGTAAAGGGTGAAAACGAAAGAATGGAGGAAAACAAAGAGGACTAGAAGAGTTTTGTGGATGTGTAAAACCTTGAACCTAATTTGAGGATGCATTACACTGCATTGTATTACAGGAAAATATGCATAATCCCTCACACACCACAGCAATTAACCTATTGATGTAATTAAGCCCAGGAATTGATTAGGGAGAGAGAGTTTACACAGCCTTCCAGGAATTCAGCTTGACCCCATGCTTGATGAACAGGTTTTAAGGAATTAGGTGCCAAGATACAGCCTGGCTGATACCAGGTTATGTTGTACAACACAAGCTATGTACCCAATACCCATCAGGGTGTGGAGAGACTGTTTAAAAAAAAATATATATAATCGAGTCTCATGTTAAGGGTAGAAATGCGCCCAGTTTTGTGCCTTGGTGCTGATTGATTATCACCCCCAAAATATTCCGCCCAGGGAAGTTGAGACCTCTTGCTGTTTGGATTTAAAAACGAACAGTTGTAAAGCAAGGGGGCAGCGCTCACAGGCTATTTGTGTGTGTGGGTGTTTCAGCGAGAGAGACGTAGAGAGGAACCAACCAGTGTAAAAGCACAGCCCCCTTCATTATTGAGGCACTATCTGCAGCCCAAATGGCACCTTAATCCCTTTCTAGTCTACTACTTTTGACAAGGGCTCTGGTCAAAAGGTGTGCACTACATGGGGAATAGGGTGCCATTTGAAACTAACTGATTGTGCCGACAACATCAAAGGAGCCTCTCCAGATGCTGAAGTCAGGAGGACTTGGGAGTTTGGTATCAACCAGGTTTGCCAAGATAAGCATATGGCCTTAAATGAGAGCCACTGTCCATCTCTTATTATAACATTCTTACATGTTAAATTCTACATTTCCTCTCGACTCTTGAAGTGACATTTGTTTAATCTATTGAGCGAACAGGGCCGACTCACTTGAAAGATGTTTGTTTTATCGGCTTGCTTCTGTACGGTACCAGTTATGCCAAGAAAGCACTTGTAAAATGTGGGTAAAAAAGAAAAGTGTGACAGAGGTAATGGGAGGAGATGAAGATTAGATCTGATGAATGAAGATGGAGATTGGGAAGAGAGAGGGAGCAGAGACAGCCGGGGTAGATGGATTGCTAATATAGGGTAAGCATATGTGTGAGTTAAAAAGTAAGGCTCTACTAAGGGCAATTGAAGAAAATAATGTCCAAAAGTAATTCACTTTGAGTATATTACTCTGTCACACTTTGCAATTTGCATCAGATCGAACCAAATCTAATCATATGAAGTTGAAATCAATTACCGTTGGCTTGACTGGCAAAGACCATAAAATATTTGCCAAATGAGATGCCTATAAGAAGGTTTATCTTTACAAATGTGGATTTCTGGAGGCTCGTCCGGGATCAATCCTGATCGAGGCACTGAGGCACAGATGTAGCGCACACATTTTATTACCCAAGAGCCTAGTCAGGTCAATTGGAGATCGTGCTCAGCAGCCACTCACGGTTTTATACATTTTCAATATCTTCCTCTCTTTTCAGGTATCACTGTGCTGCTCTCTCTCACAGTCTTCATGTTGTTGGTGGCAGAGATCATGCCAGCCACTTCAGATTCCATCCCTCTCATAGGTGTGTGTTCTCATAAAGTTTTTTGTTTTGGTTCTGTACTCCAGCACTTTGGATTTGAAATGATACAATGACTATCATTCAAAGTGCAGGGTATTTTCATCCATATCGGGTGCACCGTTTAGAAATTACAGCACTTTTTGTGCATAGTGCATAATTAACTTATATACAGTACCAGTCAAAAGTTTGGACACAGCTACTCATTCAAGGGTTTTTCTTTATTTTTACTATTTTCTACATTGTACAATAATAGTGAAGACATCAAAACTATGAAATAACACATGGAATCATGTAGTAACCCAAAGAAAGTGTTAAACAAATATATTTTATATTTGAGATTCTTCAAATAGCCACCCTTTGCCTTGATGACAGCTTTTCACACTGTTGGCATTCTCTCAACCAGCTTCACCTGGAATGCTTTTCCAACAGTTTTGAAGGAGTTCCCACATATGGTGAGCACTTGTTGGCTGCTTTTCCTTCACTCTGCGGTCCGACTCATCCCAAACCATCTCAATTGGGTTGAGGTCGGGGGATTGTGGAGGCCAGGTCATCTGATGCAGCACTCCATCACTCTCCTTCTTGGTAAAATAGCCCTTACAAAGCCTGGAGGTGTGTTGGGTCATTGTCCTGTTAAAAAACAAATGATAGTCCCACTAAGCCCAAACCAGATGGGATGGCGTATCACTGCAGAATGCTGTGGTAGCCATGCTGGTTAAGTGTGCCTTGAATTCTAAATAAATCACAGACAGTGTCACCAGCAAAGCACCCCCACACCATCACACCTCCTCCTCCATGCTTTACGGTGGGAACTACACATGCAGAGATAATCCATTCACCCACACCGCGTCTCACAAAGACACGGCGGTTGGAACCAAAAATCTCCAATTTGGACTCCAGACCAAAGGAGACATTTCCACCGGTCTAATGCCCATTGCTCGTGTTTCTTGGCCCAAGCAGGTCTCTTCTTCTTATTGGTGTCCTTTAGTAGTGGTTTCTTTGCAGGAATTTGACCATGAAGGCCTGATTCACACAGTCCCCTCTGAACAGTTGATGTTGAGATGTGTCTGTGACTTGAACTCTGTGAAGCATTTATTTGTCCTGCAATTTCTGAGGCTGGTAACTCTAATGAACTTATCCTCTGCAGCAGAGGTAACTCTCGGTCTTCCATTCCTGTGGCGGTTCTCATGAGAGCCAGTTTCATCATAGCACTTGATGGTTTTTGAGACTGCACTTGAAGAAACCTTCAAAGTTCTTGAAATGTTCTGTATTGACTGAACTTCATGTCTTAAAGTAATGATTTGCTTATTTGAGCTGTTCTTGCCATAATATGGACTTGGTCTTTTACCAAATAGGGCTATCTTCTGTATAACCCCTATCTTATCACAATACAACTGATTGGCTCAAACGCATTAAGAAGGAAAGAAATTCCACAAATTAACTTTTAAGAAGGCACACCTGTTAATTGAAATGCATTCCAGGTGACTACCTCAAGAAGCTGGTTGAGAGAATGCAAAGAGCGTGCAAAGCTGTCATCAAAGCAAAGGGTGGCTACTTTGAAGAATCTCAAATATAAAATATATTTTGATTTGTTTAACACTTTTTTGGTTACTACATGATTCCATATGTGTTATTTCATAGTTTTCATGTCTTCACTATTATTCTACAATGTAAAAAATAGTAAAAATAAAGAAAAATCCTTGAATTAGTAGGTGTGTCCAAACTTTTGACTGGTAGTGTATATATTAAAGTAGAAAAAAAGTTAAGTATTTGGTCCCATATTCATAGCACGCAATGACTACATCAAGTTTGTGACTACAAATTTGTTGGATGCATTTGCGGTTTGATTAGATAATCGTGAATGAATCGTGAATAATGATGAGTGAGAACGTTAGAGACGCACAAATATCTTACCCCCAAGACATGCTAACCTCTCACCATTACAATAACATGGGAGGTTAGCATTTTTGGGGGGTATGATATTTTTGCATCTGTAATTTTCTCACTCATCATTATTCACGATTCATTGAGGAATATCCGTAATCATGGTAGCATCCACATTAATGTAGAAGTAAATCCAAAGTGCTGGAGTATAGAACCAAAACAACGTGTCACTGTCGCAATACTTTTGGAGCTCACTGTATGTGTGTTAGAGTGTAGCGTGTGTGTGTGTGTGTGCGTGCTTGAAATAATTGTCCCAAATGTTGGTCAGGCCCTGGTAATCTAACCATCTGTTTGTCCTTAAATGTAATTGACTAAATTATGTATGGTGAGCTCACTGCAGCCAGACAGATGAGTTGCCCACCTTTGACAACTAAAACACAAATCCAGTCCATTAAAGCCCAAGAAAAATGCCAAGTCATGATCAGCAAGAAAACCACTGTTAGCATTATTGTTATTACAAATGGCGTCCTCTCTCTAATCTAATTGTTTTCTCTCTTTCCTGCCCCCCTTTCAGGACAGTACTTTGCCAGTACTATGATAATTGTTGGGATGTCAGTCATAGCTACAACGGTGGTGCTGCAGTATCATCACCACGACCCAAATGGAGGACAGATGCCCAAATGGGTAAGGCCAGAGCTCATGCTGCCCAAAGACAGATACATTTGACATTTTAGTCATTTAGCAGGCGCTCTTATCCAAAACAACTTACAGGAGCAATTAGGGTTAAGTTTCTTACTCAAGGGCACAAACAGATTTTTCACCTAGGAGGCTCATGTATTCAAACCAGCGACCTTTCGGTTACTGGCCCAATGCTCTTAACCGCTAGCCTACTTGCCGCCAGTCATTACTAACTATTAGCATTTCCCATAGGAAAACCCGTCACGCTTACCCCCATGTGCTCACCCACCAACACCTCCGTGGCTGGTCTCCTGGTATACCACAATGCAACAGTTTTTCCCATTATGGCTAATGCTAACAAGCTAACTCTCTTGGTTTACCATCATCCTTTGGTATAGCCATTTCCTCTTTGCTGCAACTGGCCAAACACTTGTGGGTTGTTCTTGAACTGCAGTGGCATTTGGACATGGCATTTGGGAATAATTTCTCTCTATTTTTTTATTTAATTTAAAATGTATTTGGGTGCATCTTCCCATTCTAAATAAACTAATATGGTAGCTTAATTACTTTAAATAATTTGTATCATTATGATAACATGTGACGGTAACACCAATGACAAATTTGAGGTAATTGAGAATTTTCTTTAAAAATGATTTACTAAAGTGATATGATTAATAATTTTGCTCACAATTTTGCTTTATTTAATTTGAGTAACACCAATGACACATTGTATTTAGACCCACCAAATTATCAATGGAGTCCTCAAATTTAGCTCATAATGATTAGCTAATAATTTTCTTTAATATAGACCCTTCCCCAAATTACAGTTTGCCACTAAAGGGAACCCTCAAGGTCCTTGTATCTCTTTGTAATGAGTGATTTTCAAGCTGGAAAAATCATTGACATTAAACTTTTAAACACCTAAAAACTTTTGTTTACTTTCTAGCATTCTAAATAATCAATAGATCTCTCTAAATCTCAAAAACATGTCACTACAACTCTACTCATCACTACTGGGACAAGCCAATTTGCATTAAACAATTTGCTTCAAACATTCATTAACATAATTTTTTATGCAGTATGTTTTGCAGTATAAAGGACTTGCATTGTTTTATTGTTGATAAACAGTTCAATAAACAAAAACATGTATGATGTGTAACTATTTGTCAAAAAAACGAAGTGTGTTTTTTTATCGTTGCAAAGGCGAGGAATGCCAATGCCACCCAGTAGTGGTGTGTGGACAAAATCACGGAGGAAGAAAAGCCAGGAAAAAAAGCCATACGTGTTGTCATAATTGCATTGTTTGCTCTATAACCTGTTAGTTCATTTCCCTTGCCAACGTGATATATAGGTCTAAGGCCGAGACAATAAGAAGTAAATAAATTAATTAAACCACAACTTTGTTTCATCACAAAACCAGAGAGCATAGTCAAGAAAGTTAATGTTTCCGACATTTTCGGACTACTAAACAACTATTGATTTAGAACCACGGAGAGTTACCGCAAGTCGCAAAGAAAACATGAGCTGCCTCCACTATTCCAGCACCATTTCTACTTTAATATTTAAACATAATCAAAATCACCTATGCTAAGTCTAACACAGTGACAACTAAGATACCAAAAACAAGAGCAGGATGCAATTAATACTTGCTACCGTGCTACCTTTGACACCTTAATTGCTACCCTCTTTATCTGCCTTTCACTTCAACTGTCCTAGGTTAATCTTTCAACGTCTCTTTCTATAATTTTCTCCATATTTTTATCCTCCAATCTCTTTCATTTTGACATATTATGCCTTTCATTTTCACATCCCTCTGCATTTGTCCTTCTGAACCACTTACACTAACAATCACTATAAACACAGACATCTCCTCACTCCTTCGCAGTCTGTTCTCATCAACTGTACCATACCTCTCTGTTGGACCAAAAAATACATTGGGTCTGTAGGCTTGTGTTTGACTTACTCAGTTTCTAGCCTTACAGTGAGGGAACAAAGTATTTGATCCCCTGCTGATTTTGTACGTTTGCCCACTGACAAAGAAATGATCAGTCTATAATTTTAATGGTATGTTTATTTGAACAGTGAGAGACAGAATAACAACAAAAAAATCCAGAAAAACGCATGTCAAAAATGTTATAAATTGATTTGCATTTAATGAGGGAAATAAGTATTTGACCCCCTCTCAATCAGAATGATTTCTGGATCCCAGGTGTCTTTTATACAGCTAACAAGCTGAGATTAGGAGCACACTCTTAAAGGGAGTGCTCCTAATCTGTTTGTTAACTGTATAAAAGACACCTGTCCACAGAAGCAATCAATCAATCAGATTCCAAACTCTCCACCATGGCCAAGACCAAAGAGCTCTCCAAGGATGTCAGGGACAAGATTGTAGACCTACACAAGGCTGGAATGGGCTACAAGACCATCGCCAAGCAGCTTGGTGAGAAGGTGACAACAGTTGGTGCGATTATTCGCAAATGGAAGAAACACAAAAGAACTGTCAATCTCCCTCGGCCTGGGGCTCCATGCAAGATCTCACCTCGTGGAGTTGCAATGATCATGAGAACGGTGAGGAATCAGCCCAGAACTACACGGGAGGATCTTGTCAATGATCTCAAGGCAGCTGGGACCATAGTCACCAAGAAAACAATTGGTAACACACTACGCCGTGAAGGACTGAAATCCTGCAGCGCCCGCAAGGTCCCCCTGCTCAAGAAAGCACATATACAGGCCGTCTGAAGTTTGCCAATGAACATCTGAATGATTCAGAGGAGAACTGGGTGAAAGTGTTGTGGTCAGATGAGACCAAAATGGAGCTCTTTGGCATCAACTCAACTTGCCGTGTTTGGAGGAGGAGGAATGCTGCCTATGACCCCAAGAACACCATCCCCACCGTCAAACATGGAGGTGGAAACATTATGCTTTGGGGGTGTTTTTCTGCTAAGGGGACAGGACAACTTCACCGCATCAAAGGGACGATGGACAGGGCCATGTACTGTCAAATCTTGGGTGAGAACCTCCTTCCCTAAGCCAGGGCATTGAAAATGGGTCGTGGATGGGTATTCCAGCATGACAATGACCCAAAACACACGGCCAAGGCAACAAAGGAGTGGCTCAAGAAGAAGCACATTAAGGTCCTGGAGTGGCCTAGCCAATCTCCAGACCTTAATCCCATAGAAAATCTGTGGAGGGAGCTGAAGGTTTTGTTGCCAAACGTCAGCCTCAAAACCTTAATGATTGGAGAAGATCTGCAAAGAGGAGTGGGACAGAATTCCTCCTGAGATGTGTGCAAACCTGGTGGCCAACTACAAGAAACGTCTGACCTCTGTGATTGCCAACAAGAGTTTTGCCACCAAGTACTAAGTCATGGTTTGCAGAGGGGTCAAATACTTATTTCCCTCATTAAAATGCAAATCAATTTAACATTTTTGACATGCGTTTTTCTGGATTTTGTTGTTGTTATTCTGTCTCTCACTGTTCAAATAAACCTACCATAAAAAATTGTAGACTGATCATTTCTTTGTCAGTGGGCAAATGTACAAAATCAGCAGGGGATCAAATACTTTCTTCCCTCACTGTATCTCAGTCTCTCAACTTGTGTAATACCTTGAAGCTTTTACAAATGCACATCTCAGCTTCCCCTGTTTGGCGGTACGGCATTTACAGATTTATTGATATCATCAACTCAGAGAATGGGTTTTGGTGAATGAGAGTGGATGGGTTGCAGATTGGTTCAATCCGACTGAAGTCTTCCCACTGATAAATGGCCCACTTTGGGTAGTCAGCTGGCCAATTGGCAACGTAAATGATTGGGGTTCAGAGAAGGGCATCGAACCGGCACCGTTCACAACATCAGACTATTACCTGGCTCATGAACATGCTCAGGGGAGACTAATTAAGGGCTCATCTGGACAGTAGATGCTCATTTGGACAAGGGCACCCTATTCCCTATAAAGTGCACTTATTTTGACCAGAGGTCTTTGGGTCAAAAGTAGTGCACTATAAAAAGAACAAGGTCCAATTTGGGATGCATCCCTGGACACTGTTGGTCTAATATGCTCTTTCTAGGGGTGTAGAACACTCGTCCTCCCCCTCTCCCAATCCATGCTAAAGAAACAAATACCTATTATTTCAGACAAAAAACACGATATGTTACCTGTAAAGAGAATAAGGCAATGTTTATATGAAAGCCATTTCAAACAGTCCTTTATTTACCACTTTCTTGCACGTATACCCCGTTTTATACATCCCAGTGCGTAGCCTGCACCTGTGAGGGGTGGGAATAGGGGTTGCCCATCTGGCCATACTTGTAATCGTATCCGTAATTGACAGTTTATAGTCGGATCGAATTATACTAATAAATCAGAAAAACGTGTTTTAAAATGCTTAAATAGGCTTATCCTCTCCCTGCACATTTATAATCAGTGGCCAGTTTATTAGTGTAAGAAAGCCTGTCCCTTTAAGAACTCAGTGATGACGTCACAGCTATCACAAGCTGGCAGAGTGTTTAGTTCATTCCTAAGTGCAGCTCGCCACCTACTGCTGTGAACACAAATCTCTGTTTTGGACATTATTTCCTTTCTGACCAATTTATATATCACTGTGCGTGAATATCAGAACTGTAAGCAATGTATTTGTTTTCCCCCTGTTTTACTGATGAAGTTGTCAATAGTTTAAGAATATTTTCCTCATTGTTACAGCATTATGTATCTTGTTTTTTTTGCTATCTAACATTGTTAGCTACATTTTCATCTGTCATTGTTAGCTGGTTAGTCTGATGTTGCTAGATACTTGTATTTTCATTTCAGTCATTGGATTATTATAACAGATGAGAGCTGTATATCTTGTTTTGTTATTGCTAAATGAACATGTGCCTTATCTTAGTATTGAGGCCATTGTTTATTATTATTTCCAGACCACATCTTGTATGGATAAATGGACAGTTAATTAATTGGATAATCACAGCTGAGTGACATAGCACAGAAATTATCCCTCACCGTCTCTAATAGTAGTACAATCTCCATAACTTCACCTACTCAATTAGTGTATAAATTCCAGAGGCATCACCCTCTAATTCATGGTCCTTCAGAGTCGGATTGAGTAAACCACCCGAAGATATGGATCCAACACATACGGATGCACCTGACCCATCCGTGCGGGCCCGTTCACAGAGAGAAAGACATCCCCCAGCTCACCTGGGTGATTATGCTGTTGAATATCTCCCTCGCCAGGAACAACGCTTATCCACAACTCAGGCACCCCCCTTATTAGGATGAAGGAGTAGTGGAGCGGACATCCGATCAGAGAGGAGTGCTACCAGCTCCAAGACACAGTGCCCACGCATCGGTGAGCCGCTTCCCAGACCTATCCGACCTCCAAGCAGCTATGTTGGAGGAAACAATGAAGCTCATGGAGTTTAATGACCTACAACGTCAGTAAGAGCAAGATCGCAACGTCGACGTAGACTGTCGACGCATAGCAGCCGAAGCCAGAGAAGCTCAGCGACAACAGGAAGAAGCTCAGCGTTGACAGGAGCTAGAGCTGGCCAAGCTTGTTACATCTTTTCATCAAGAAAATGATGGAGTTGATGTAGTCAGAACCCAGATGACTCAGTAAGAGCAGGGGAGCCCCTCATGAGCACCGTCTGATGAATAATGTGACAGCTTTGTGTCTGTTCCACTGACACAACCACGACATGCCAACCTAGGAGAAAGAAGCAGAGCCTATGAAGACTCACATCTTCTCCCTGCCTACCCGAGACACTCTTCACCAGCTCCCATGGTTCCGCACCCTGCTCCAGCTCCCGTGGTTCCGCACCCTGCTCCAGCTCCCGTGGTTCCGCACCCAGCTCCAGCTCCCGTGGTTCCGTACCCCGGACCAGCACCTGCGGCTCCGTACCCCGGACCAGTACCTGCGGCTCCGTACCCCGGACCAGCACCTGCGGCTCCATACCCTAGACCAGGATTCACACCACACCCTGTTCCAGGTGAACCCTACTTACCTGCGGGACAAAGCATGCCTTATCCAGCTCCAGCAGCACCAGGCTTTCATGCAGGTTTAGGTGTGCCCTATCCCAATCCAGCAGCACCATATCCTGCCCCGGGACAGATGGCACCCTACCCACCTGGCACGGATCAGCTGATTGCCTCATTATACGGCATGCCGAAGCCGTCATTTCCCTACTTTGAGAGCGGTAGAGAGAGTGACTTTGCCCTTCTCAAGATGTCCCTAGATGACCTGATGAGCAGTCACAGACACCTAAACGAGCGGTATACAGTGATGGAAAAAAGTATTTGATCCCCTGCTGATTTTGTACGTTTGCCCACTGACAAAGAAATGATCAGTCTATAATTTTAATGGTAGGTTTATTTGAACAGTGAGAGACAGAATAACAACATAAAAATCCAGAAAAACACATGTCAAAAATGTTATAAATTGATTTGCATTTTAATGAGGGAAATAAGTATTTGACCCCTCTGCAAAACATGACTTAGTACTTGGTGGCAAAACCCTTGTTGGCAATCACAGAGGTCAGATGTTTTTTGTAGTTGGCCACCAGGTTTGCACACATCTCAGGAGGGATTTTGTCCCACTCCTCTTTGCAGATCTTCTCCAAGTCATTAAGGTTTCGAGGCTGACGTTTGGCAACTCGAACCTTCAGCTCCCTCCACAGATTTTCTATGGGATTAAGGTCTGGAGACTGGCTAGGCCACTCCAGGACCTTAATGTGCTTCTTCTTCAGCCACTCCTTTGTTGCTTTGTCCGTGTGTTTTGGGTCATTGTCATGCTGGAATACGCATCCACGACCCATTTTCAATGCCCTGGCTGAGGGAAGGAGGTTCTCACCCAAGATTTGACAGTACATGGCCCTGTCCATCGTCCCTTTGATGCGGTGAAGTTAGCAGAAAAACACCCCCAAAGCCTAATGTTTCCACCTCCATGTTTGACGGTGGGGATGGTGTTCTTGGGGTCATAGGCAGCATTCCTCCTCCTCCAAACACGGCGAGTTGAGTTGATGCCAAAGAGCTCCATTTTGGTCTCATCTGACCACAACAATTTCACCCAGTTCTACTCTGAATCATTCAGATGTTCATTGGCAAACTTCAGACGGGCATGTATATGTGCTTTCTTGAGCAGGGGGACCTTGCAGGCTCTGCAGGATTTCAGTCCTTCACGGCGTAGTGTGTTACCAATTGTTTTCTTGGTGACTATGGTCCCAGCTGCCTTGAGATCATTGACAAGTTCATCCCGTGTAGTTCTGGGCTTATTCCTCACCGTTCTCATGATCATTGCAACTCCACGAGGTGAGATCTTGCATGGAGCCCCAGGCCGAGGGAGATTGACAGTTTCTTCCATTTGCGAATAATTGCACCAACTGTTGTCACCTTCTCACCAAGCTGCTTGGCGATGGTCTTGTAGCCCATTCCAGCCTTGTGTAGGTCTACAATCTTGTCCCTGACATCCTTGGAGAGCTCTTTGGTCTTGGCCATGGTGGAGAGTTTGGAATCTGATTGATTGATTGCTTCTGTGGACATGTGTCTTTTATACAGGTAACAAGCTGAGATTAGGAGCACTCCCTTTAAGAGTGTGCTCCTAATCTCAACTTGTTACCTGTATAAAAGACACCTGGGAGCCAGAAATCTTTCTGATTGAGAGGGGGTCAAATACTTATTTCCCTCATTAAAATGCAAATCAATTTATAACATTTTTTACATGTGTTTTTCTGGATTTTTGTTGTTGTTATTCTGTCTCTCACTGTTCAAATAAACCTAGCATTAAAATTATAGACTGATCATTTCTTTGTCAGTGGGCAAACGTACAAAATCAGCAGGGGATCAAATACTTTTTTCCCTCACTGTAAGTATCAAGTTCTTCTGGCCGACCTGAAACTACAGAGTGCAGTCCAGCTCGCTAAGGCCTACATGCACAACCTGAGACCTTACACTGCTGCCTTATAAGCCCTGCAGGACAAGTACGGTCAGCCCTGCCAACTCGTCCAGTGTGAGCTAGCCACCATTTTAAACTCCCCTGCCGTCAGGTTCGGAGATGCAGAAGTCTTCGACACCTTTGGCCTGTCTATCCACTCACTGGTAGGCATGCTCAGGACCCTTAAGGGGCAGAACGACTATGAGCTCAGATGTGGATCCCATGTCGACCGGCTCTGGAGCAAGATGCCACAGAGCTACCGGGATGAATTTGTCGAGTACTGCTTCGATCGCGGCATCCTCAGGACTGGCACGGACCAGACGCACACCCTACATGACTTGGCAGCCTGGTTGCAGAAGAAGTCCCAGGCTAAGCGCATATCAAGCAGAGCCGCAGCACTCTATCAATGTGATATGCCTAAGTCATTCAAGAAAGACCACTGTGCCTTCATAAGACAGAAGGGGAAATCTGCTTCAATCCTCTTCAACGAAGATCCAAACCCCAAGGAGCCTGCTCAATCCAAGGAGAAATCCAAACCCAAGCCATACTGTCCCCACTGTGACAATAAAGAACACTTTCTCAACTCGTGAAGAGTTCAAGAAGCTGAACACAGGACAGATCGTCAAGTGGATAAAGGATGGAAAAAGTTGTTGGAAGTGCGGACAATCCCACAAAGCTGATGCTTGCACCCTCAGACAACCTTGCATGACATGTAAAGAGCAGCACCTAACAATCCTTCATGACGACATACAGGAAAACGAGAAAAGTGTGCTCATGGTGAGTGTCCTTACGACCAAGGTGTACCTGGACAGACCCAACCAATAGGCGAAAGTAATGCTGAAGGTCGTGAAGGTCTTACTTCAGAATGGAGACCGAGCCCTGGAAACATACGCCGTGCTCGACAATGGCTCGTAGCGTAGCATCGTCCTGCCGCAGGCTGTTCAACAACTAAACCTCACTTCTGAACCTGAGACCCTCACCTTCAGGACAGTTCGTCAAGACGTTGTGCAACTGCAAGGTGCCTCAGTTACCTTTGATGTGTCCCACCTGCTCAAACCTTTCAAGAAGTATCGGATATGTCAGGCATTCACCGCAGACAACCTAGGCCTTTCCGAACACTCCTTCCCAGTAGCAGCTCTCCAAAAGCGATACGACCACCTCCGTAAGCTGCCTAAGGACCAAGCTCAACCTCTGCTGCTGAATGGTTTAGACATGCCTCACCTCCTGATACCCATACAGCCAGTCTGTACAGGCCCGTCTGGTGGACCCTTTACTGTCCACACCGAACTCAGCTGGTCCCTGCAAGCTTTGTCCACACAGAACCAGCTGAACAACAGTGCCTGCTCACCACTATCGTTTCGCCATACACCGAGCTCTTCAGAAACGAGGAGCGACTTTGGCAGATCGATACCCTTCCCTATGTGAGTGAGAAGCTGGCGACTCGCTAGAAATAAGACCAGCAAGCCATGACACTACTCCAGACGTCCACCACTAGGATAGAAGTTGATGGCGTTCAGTGCTATGCTTCACCCCTGCTTCGTCGAGTCAATGATGAAACTCTCCATGCTTCAAAGGAAGCTGTACTGCCAAGCTTCCGTAGCATGGACCAAAGACTTGCCAAAGACCAAAAACACGCCGAGGTGTACTGCCAGGAGCTCGAGAAGCTGCAGACTGCAGGCTACGTGTCACTGGTGCCACCCAAGGTAGCTGAACAACCTACTGGTTTACTCCTGGTCCTGGTTTAAATCCCACCATATTGTGCATCACAATGGAAAGGATAGGATTGTGTTTAACTGTTCGTTCCAGCATAAAGAACAGTCTCTCAATGACCTTCTCCTCCCTGGACCAACATTGGGACCATCCCTGCTTGGTGTGCTCCTCAGATTCCGTCAACATGCCGTAGCTGTGAGTGGTGGCAAAGGTATGTTTAATCAGATCTGTCTCTTACCAGCTGACAAACCGGTGCTACGCTTCATCTGTTAGAACATGCATAGAACTGAAGAACCGAGCATCTATGAGTGGCAGGTCTTTCCATTCGGCACAATTTGTAGTCCTATTGTGCCATCTACGCTCTGCAACACGTTCAGGACAATGTAGGAGCCAACCAAGACCTTGTGAAGTCAGTTGAGGAGTCATTCTATGTGGACAACTGCCTTCGAAGCATCCCGTCTGCCGATGAAGCAAGAGACCTTGTTAACGGACTTCGGCAGTTGCTCCAGACTGGAGGCTTTGAGATATGCCAGTGGTCAAGCAATGTACCAGTTGTCATCGCGCACCTATCGTCCGAGGCCAGATCTGAAAGCAGCGAACTGTGGCTTTCCCAAAGTAGCACGGATCTCCAGGAACCAACCCTGGGGCTACGCCAGAAATGCCTCAGAGACTCCTTGGGATACAAGCACCGCACTGTGGAGTATTCCAAACTTACAATGAGGAATATCTACAGCGTGCACGTCTGTCACAACCTGAACCAAGGTACTCGTCCAGGACATGTGGAAAGAAGGGATAGGTTGGGACGACCCCATTCAGCCTCAGAGCCTGCTGGACAGATGGCTTGTCTGGGAACAAGAAATTCCTGAACTTGTCCAGATGTAACTCCCCAGAACTTATGCACCTCCACATATTCTGTGATGCATCAGAGAGAGCATATGGCTCTGTTGACTACATTCAGACTGTGGATGACCAGGTCTCGTTCTGGCCAGGTCTTGCGTTGCGCCAAAGTAGCAGCTGTTGATGCAACGCTTGGAGCTGAGTGCTGCATTCACTGGGGCTCAGCTGGCCAGTGTCCTCCAAGCAAAACTCACCCTACCCATCGGACAAGTCATCCCCTGGTCCGATTCCACCACAGTCCTTCATTGGCTCAAGTCAGAATCTTGTAGATACAAGGATTTCGTAGGAACATATGTTGCAGAGATTCAGAACCTTACGGATATAGCCAATTGGAGGTATCTGGATACCACGAACAACCCAGCGGATGACATCACTCGGTGCAAGACCTTGAAAGAGCTGGCCCAACCGCATCGATGGCACCAAGGCCCTGAGTTCCTCCAACACTCAGAAGATCAGTGGCCTTCATTGCCTTCTGCTGGCCCTGAGCCAAACTGAAGAAATCAACCTTATGCGGACATGTCTGTCAGTTCCAGTCCTCAGCTCTCAGATATCAGCAAGTTTGATACATGAAAGACCTCATGAATGCAACAACTAGATCCCTACACGGAGCGGCCGATCCACTCTCCAGTTCACCTAGCGAAGTAGCAGACTACATAGCCACAGAGAACGTCCTCCTGAAGCAAGCTCAGATGGAATCATTTCCTGAAGAGGTCAAGGCCTTCATGTCAAACCGGTCTAAACCTTCTAACAGTTGTCTGGGTCCCTTGTCTCCTGAGTACGATAAGGATTCAGGACTCCTTAGAGTTGGTGGTAGACTGTGCAGAGCAAAGCACCTGGAGATGGATGCTATGCACCCCACCGTCTTGATCTGCATCTGCTGACCAAGCTACTCATTCAAGATTTCAACGGGACTCTCCTCCATCCCGGCCCAGAGGGGGTTCTGGCAGAACTGCGTCGTAGATACTGGATTCTGCGGGAAAGGGAGGCCATCCGGAAGTTTCAGCACACCTGTTTGCAATGCCAAAGATGGTGCGCCAAACCTGAAGTTCCTAAGATGGTAGACCTACCTCCTGCTTGTCTGCGACTGTACAAGCCACCCTTCTACTGTACCGGAGTGGATTGTTTCGGACCATTCAACATAAAAATCTGCCATCAGCATGACGCAAGAGGAACCGGGATGCGTTGGACCAGGTTATGTTTTTCCACTCCTCAATTGTCCAGTGTTGGTGATCATGTGCCCACTGGAGCTAAAAACAAACTTCTTGTTTTTAGCTGATAGGAGTGGAACCCGGTGTGGACAAGTTGTGCGTTCCGAGATGCCGTTCTACACACCACTGATTCTTGCTATTCTCCTTCGACCTCTCATCAACAAGCTGTTTTTGCCCACAGGACTGCCGCTGACGATGTTTTTTGTTTGTCGCACCATTCTCGGTAAAACCTAGAAACTGTCGTATGTGAAAAGCCCAGGAGGCCGGCTGTTTCTGAGATACTGGAACCGAAGCACCTGGACCGACGATCATACCACGCTTAAAGTCGCTTAGGTTACTAATTCTAACGTTCAATCGAACAGTAACTGAATGCCTCGATGCCTGTTTTATATAGCAAGCCACAGCCATGTGACTCACTGTCTGTAGGAGCGAACCATTTTCGTGATAAACTGGCCACTGAGTGTATATAAACCAAGGAAGCGACGCAGACCAGAAGCAGCGGAATTGTGTCTGTTCTCAAAACTTGCAGCGGGCAGATGATCTGCTGTCACTCATTCAGAACGCAGATCGGCATTTCATATTTCTTTCCTAGCCTCTTTCCACTTGTTAGATATTATGCACATTGATAGCTTGCTAGAAAACGTCTTCGCCAACTGATGTATAATAGAAGCAGCAGACAGTAGCAATTGGAGCAAAACATGCAAGGAGAAATTACTGGTGAAATCATCAAGCAATAAAGAGCAAGTGAACGGAGAGAATGCCAAAGTATTACTGTGAAGCTTTGTGATTGGTTCACCCAGGTGAGCGTCGTCCCAAAGCCGGGACTTTTTGAATGGCTCGGTTTTCACAGAGCCGTAGGCAGAATTTAAGAAAATACCGCAACGATGACTAATTCTCGAGGGATTTAAAATACCACGTTTTTTACCCCTGTGACGAAGACGCTGTGAGTCGAGAAGCAGGTGCAGGTGAAACGTTTAATAAAACAACAAACATGGGACGAGACAACATAGACACTACTGCTATGCATAACCACAGGAACAATACTGACTGGGGAAAGAACCTAAGGGAGTGCCAGATATAGGGGAGGTAATAAAAGGCGGTAATGGAGTCCAGGTGTGCCTCATGATGACGTGCAGGTGCGCGTAATGATTGATGCCAGGTGTGTGTAATGATGGATCCCAGGACCGGTGGTTAGTATACCGGCTAGGTCGAACGCCGGAGGGGAGGAACGGGTATAGACGTGACAACCCCCTAACCCTTTCAGATATAAAGAAAAGACGGTATAAAGAAGACGGTATGGTAAAGACTGGTTTTTGTCTAGATTTAAAAAGGGATAAAAGATACGTAAGGGGGAGACAGATGCCTGTGTCTAACTTTCATTCCGTGGTTAGAATTTAAATGAATCTTTATATCCCCCAAAAGGTCATTGTAAAATTCCTCCCTTAGGCAATTTTTTCATTCTTATGCTCATGAAAGTAGTGTTGAATACAAAAGGTCAAGTTGAATATACCAGCATCCGCACACACCACCCACTGTGTTAAGCTTTTACCGGCTGAAAGGTTTTCCCCCTAGTGTATTTCCAAGTGCACTACTCTTTGTAAGTGTAGGTGTATTCCTTCCTAGATGCTATGTATCTATATTATAAAATCCTTCTCTGATTGATTCTCCCTTCTCTTCCTTTCAGGTTAATGTGGTCCTACTACAGTGGGTAGCATGGTTCCTACGTATGAAGCGCCCAGGGGAGAATGATGACCCAGAGCGACCACCCTGCGCCCCCCACCTACGGCGCTGCTCCTCAAGCTCCCAGAGTGGTAGCATCCCTAACCCTCCAGACCCCAAGCTCAACCCGCTGCACCCGCAGAACCTGGCCCCTCTCCAGGCTGGCCCCCTGCACGCAGGTCACCCCCACCTTCACGCACAGTCCAGCGCCAACAACGGAAACCTGCTCTATATCGGTTTCCAGAACCTGGACGACCCCCCACTGCTCCCGGATCACATCCAGAGTTACAGCATTTCGGCCGGGCCTCCTCGAGTAGCAGGCAGCCCCCCTCCACCACCCCCCACCCCCAACGCGGACACCGTGGGCTGCCCTAGCACCATTTCCAGTGGCGGGGGCTTTGGAATGGGGGGTGGAGGACAGTACTCAGGGGGTATAGGCGATCCCCAGCTCCAGGCTATTCTGGAGGAGGTGCGTTACATGGCGGACCGCTTCCGTGAGCAGGATGAGACAGAGAGCGTGGCCGACCAGTGGAAGTTTGCGGCAGCAGTCATCGACCGGCTCTGCCTGGTGGCCTTCAGTATGTTCAACATCATCTGTACCATCGCCATCCTCATGTCCGCTCCCAACTTTGTCGAGGCCGCCTCCAAGGACTTCTTCTGAGGAAGAAGAGGCTGGGGCAGAGGAGGAGAGAAAGAATGAGGGAGAAAATATGTAGTGGAGAAAGAGCAGGATGTGGAATGATTTGGGGCTCAGTCCAAGAGGGCTATTGTCAGGGACAACAGACCCTCCTGTCAAGATGAGGGGGGTTCTTTGGAGATGGCTATAGTACATCTCAAGATGGTCTATTGAAGTCTCTCTATCAATGACCTCTGATGAAATGGAACAAGATGGGGAGGGATGAGTTTATGGGAGAAGAATCCAAAAAGACATGGTTCAACAGACTATATAGGGTGAAGTAAATTGTACTGAATTATGAGGCTTTTTCAAAGACCTATAAGAAGTGAAGGTCAACAGGAAGGGCAATAAGGAAAAAGTGGAGCATGGGATAATTCAACCTGAGATTGGGAAGATTGCAGTACTTACAGAAAGAGAGAGATAAAGAGAGAGAGGGAGGGGAAGAGACAGATAGATAGGGCTGTTTTATTTGCTATCAGATCCCAGAAAAGGCAAAGAAAGACTGCATCATTTACTGAAACAGGGGACCAGGAGGGAGGGGGAGAGACTGACTTTTACAAGGAAAGACAAGGAATGAGTGTATGAACACAGAGGTTTTACCTGGTGACAGCGAAGGTGGGAGGGTCAAACAAACTGAACTGGGCCTTGTCAAAGGGAACGCTTAGATCTCTGGGATAGACAGAAGAACAAAGCGGATGAGAGGAATAAATCTCTAATCTTTCATTCTGTCATTTGTTTCATGGGCATCAAATTGAAAGGCCTTAAATAACATGCAGACTTTTTCCGATCGGTTGAAGAACTAAATGAATTCACATTTAACAGCCCCATTTCCTTCCCCAGGTCTGATCTGTCAGTGGGTTGCCAGTGTATACCAATCTTCACTTTTTGTCCTACGGTGTGCAGCGCTACTTGTGATTGGGCAACTGCATTAGTGCGTAATAATCAGTGTAATTGCCAGTAATTGTGTTACAGTGGAGGGTTGATCCAATAATGACCCATCAAACAGTCATCCTAATAGAATTAGGCAGGTCCTAATAGAGAAGGCTGATCTCATTGAGCTCCAAAGTGAAATCTTAATATACTGTATTGTGAGGTGAGCAACTTTAAGAGGAATGTAAAGGGAAGTGAGCCTCAAACCTCAAGATGAACACACAAATGACTTGATTGGAATGACACTCATTTTTATATTTGACAATATGGTTGAGAATTGCTGCATAATTGATGGGAGTTTTATTTTTCGATATTTTCATATTTTCCAAATTCAACATATACTTAATAAAATAGATTTCCTATAGTTATTTTAAAGACCACAGAGACAGCTCCTGGAAGATCTCATATCTCTCGCTCGCTCTATAAACTGACTCATCTCCTCCCTTCAGTGGAAACCTCAAACTGGGAGTAGGCGGACTGACTCTCTGGCACACACACACACGTATAGAAACATTTCCCATCCAGAAATAAAGTATTCTTTTTTTACCATCCTTGCCTTCCTCCTTTCCTCCCTCCTTTCCTCAACGGACACTGGTGCTGATAAACGCAAGAGAAAAATGACAGCAGGGGCAGAGAAAGTGCTGACATGCAGCGCACGCCGGACAGGGTTTTAATTGATCACTCCTTCAGGAAGAGAGAGCGAGGGAGGAAGGAGGGGTAGAGAGGCCATGCTCGTTAATTCAATGGATTTATAAGAGAGGACCAGGGAGACAGCCGCTCGACAAAGCATAACTCAGTCACACAATACACCATAATGCAAACTATGTAGTATATTAATAGTACATTTTGGTATAAGCACATTTTCAATGTCAAATGGGTTAGCGTCTATTGACTGGGATGCTCATTATGTGTGTAAGTTTCAGGCATATTATGTGGTTCTCTCTCCAGTCCATACAGTATCTGTTTTTCTGTCAGTATACAAAAAGAACATGAGCTGTGTGTGTTTGTCAGGTGTCTCCGTCTAATCAACACACTCCCTCTCATTCTCTTTCACTCACTCTTCATCCCTTTCCCCCTCCATCTCTATTTTTCTTTATCTCTCCCTCTGTGTGTGGTCAGTGTTTGAGCTTCAGCGTGTTACTCAGTGTCAGACGGATGGAGGGGCTATATTTATAGTGGCTGTTCTCCACTGCAGGTTGTCTGATTGGGTAATTCTCTTTCTATCCTCTTTCCGAGGCTCTGGGGTCGGCAAATGTGCAGCGTTGGCACTCTCTGAGCTCTCAGATTTACTGGGTTCACTCAGATGAAAAAAGAAGAGTAGATAAGGGGAGAGTGTGTGTGTGTGTCCGTGCTGTTTGTGTGTAGAGGAATGTGTGCTTGCATGTGTATGCTTCGAATCAGTTGTTTTTTCTCTCTCAGTTAACGAGCAGTTGGAGCCAATGCCCTCTCCTCGGCAAGAGATTTTTCTCCAGATGGCCAATTGAAGTGTACACGCCTGGAAAGATTGAGTATGTGTGAATGGGCGCTGCAATTTCACATTAAAAAGATACATTACTGCAGCGTACGGGCGGAATGAAAACCTACAGCTCGAATAGAGACCTCAAACACATGCCTGTGGCACGCACACTTCGATAAACACCAGTCACACACAACTGTAAATACTGCACACACTGCAAACACACCATTTACATAGCACACATAAACACATCCATTACACAAACTGAATACACAGGGCTTGTAAGTCAACATCCTTATAAAATACGACCTCTCAGAAACCCCCACCGTTTGCTCAGTTTCCCACAGACAGTTCTGTATAATACGACCATATTCCCAATGTTGTGCGGCTGATCAATGCCTTTTAATTACCGGCCGGCCGGAAGCGCTGACGCGAGGTAGAGAGCGGCAGACCTGCTCAGGACAGTGATTGATGCTTGTACCCACCCAGTCCCACCTGGGGACGCATCATTAGCCTTGATTAAAGATGTGTCCCAAATGCCAGCCTACACCCTCTTTGGGCCCATATGGCTCTGGTCAAAAGTGGTGAACCACATAAGGAAAAGGGTGCCATTTGGGACACAGCCTGCCAAGCCACATTCACTCACCGTGCTGACCGTCATTCAGCTGTCCCAGACCTCTGCGGTCATAAGGTTAAGTGGCCAGCTGGTCGCGGGCGATTAGTGGGCCAATGAGGGGACTGTAGTCTGGCCGTAAGTCAAAATTGGGCAGTTTCCGAGGCGGACTGAAACATGGGTCAGTTGATTTTTATACTGTGTGTCTTTGTTGATTAAGTCCGGAACATCATTCTTTAGGTAAAATGGACTTGCAGATGGAGAGTATCTCACCTGGAACAGCTAGCTTGGTCAGGGTTCAAAGTTCACGTGGGTTGAATTAAATTGTGGCTCAGACTTCCATGATCAATTGAAAATAAATAAAATATAAAAATCAAGAGAATTAATGAAAATTGTTAATTAACTAATTAATGTTGAACTCCGACTGAAGACAAAAGTACCTGCTTTATCACTGATAACCTAAAATGTACTGTCAGGTAAATACATAATTCCCTATATAGTGTACTACTTTTGACCAGGGCCCATTGGCCTCAAAAGTAGTGCTAAATGGTTGCGTTTAGATAGGCAGCCCAATTCTGATCTATTGCCCAATTATAGGCAAAAGAACAGAATTGGCCTGCCTGTGTAAATGCAGCTTTTGTAGTGAATAATGCGCCATTTGGGACTCAGCCGGGGACTTCATTTGTGCCCATTACCACTGGGGGTTCCAGGTTTGACATACAGCTGCAGCCTCTCGATCAGAGCCGCACTGAAGACTGTTCTAATCTTCTAAATAATGGCCCGAGCCCTATATAATCTACCTGAACAAACCAAATTCCTCTACCATGATGAGAAATCCAAATAAGCCATTTGTTAAGGCTAAAGGGGAGCGATTTAGGATAAATTCCAGATCATTTGTGTAACTTTTTTTTTTCTCAGGTAAGAGTCCATTTCACATTTGCTTGTGCTAGCAAGCTGCCTTAAAGTCATAGGGCCATCAGACTGACTGACAGCACAATGACAGTATAATAAAGACCTTTGCATGGAGTGCCCATTGGACCTTTTATTATTTGTCAGTGCTCTTAACTACAGGTCTTTTTGGGCACTATTCTGACAGGTTTTATAAATCTGACTTTTTGAAAGAGCGATCGACATCAGAACGGTTACTGATCAGCAGCAGGGACAGAGTAGGACCAGAAATCGGCCAGCCATTTCTAACACTCCGGACCATTTTTCCCCAATAACTAGCCAAATAATAATAATTTTGCACAAAACAATTTAGACAGGCCCACTGGGCTAAAGATGGACAAGCCCACTTGGCATTTTCCAGAATTGCCCTTTGGCCAGTCCATCCCTGCCCAGGAGGGCCGGTATGACTTAGCATTGTGATAAAGCCTCTCTCACTACAATGGAAGTTAATAGGAATACGACTTCTAGATGGCAAAAATGCCTATCATACATGTCAGATTTCAATACTGGCTGATGTCATGTCTTCTCTCGAATGAGCCATTGATCATATTTTTTTGCGATATTCCTACCTCTAGAAATGTGTAATTTAACACAGGGTCCACCTTTTTGTCTGCCCCTTCAGTCCAGGTGCATTGGTGCAGTTGTGAATGTCAGGATCCACTCTGCGAGGCATATCGATCTGCAGGTTGAACATGGTGAGATTGTAGACTCCTAAATTGATAATGCAGTTTTAGGCGATTTTACAGCCAACTAGCTACTTCACATGGTGATAGTGACTTTTATATTATTGTGTGGAGCTACATTTGCTAGCTATCTAGCTAGCCCATAAAGAGAGCATTGCATTGTGGGTTATGTAGCGGACTTGAACTGCAACAGATTTCCACAACGATTTTTACATGTTGCTACCAACCTTATTATAACGACAAATTGAAACATTTGTTCACAAAAAATATTGCTCTCACAGTGTTATTTAACACTAACTTATAGGAATTATTTATTTTGGATGGATTTTTCATTTAACATTCAGCGTGCGTGCACGTGGACATGTTTAACCATACTTGTGGGGACCAGAAGTACCCACAAGAATAGTAAACTAACAAAAGTTTGACCAACTGGGAACATTTTGTCAGTCCCCAGGGAAAAAGTCAATTTCTAGCGGGTTTAGGGTTAGAATTAGCGTTGGGTTAGAATTTCCGTTTTGGAGTTAATGTTAAGTTTAGGAAAAATAGGATTTCTAATATGAATCAATTGGGTGTTCCCACAAGGTTAGTAAAACAAGACTGAGTGTGAGTGTGTGTGTTGTGTGTGTGTGACCACAATCAATTAGTCTTTGCCCTAGGGATGAACAGGAATAAATGTACAGTAAACAAAAAATGTGGAACACTTCTTCAATATATCATTTTATTTAAAATATCGTTACAATTTATTACTCTACATTACATTTTCAAACCATTTTTTTTTTTTTTCATTTTTACATTGGTTAGTAAACCTTCATATATTTTAAGATATAAAACTACCCATTTTCAGTATCAGTTGTTAATTCATGTCTTTAGTTTGAGTAAATGCAACACTGCTTGACTTCCAGAACTTGACTCAATGTATATTTAAGTTCTTGCTTCGCCAAATACCCTACACAAAATAAATGACCAAGAGTGGCGCTAGCACACTACACTATCATTTCCCACAACTTCAATAATTTTCGGAAATAAATTATACGTTTTCAATCGAGAGAAAGTGCATTTTTATCCAAATGACATTTTTTGCAATAATTTACAAGTTATGCTGAAGAAGACAAACACGTCTAGGTTTTAATGTTGCCTATACTTGCCATCGAACAAAAGCCCTGCTCATCTGAAACGTAAGGTACAGAAATAAATGTTTTAGCTACACAAAGGCCTACCATGTTAGTTAGTTGTTTAGAATGCCTAGCTCAAGTGGAGAGATGTGTGTGATGTCCTTTAATGCTGGGGTGCGTTCAGCAGGGCACAACATTTTGGAATAGAAATACAGCATCACACAGAACAAACACCCCTCTCTGACATGTAGAATAAGGAGTCATACCAGCTCAATTCATGACATTTCTATCTGCAACGTTCGACAACAATTGGCTACTGAAAGTAGCCCTGGAGTGGCGTTGTTCCGTTCAGAAGGGTGGTGTAACTGGAGTCTATACAAAAGCATATTTTTTACTCTATAGAAATGTAGTGGTGGCTGAATCTACAACAGTGTCAAGCTGCTATCAGAGGAGGACCCTGACGTTTTAATAATACAGCAACAAAAAGTTAGAGGGGTGACTGACCTTTGAAATGCTTTCGATAGGGGAGACATGATAATTATCTTACAACTGACGTACACTGACATTATAGAGATGCAGCAAAGTAAGTGCAGGTGACTAGCGTTATTATAGCTCGGAGTAAATTAGCCAAAGACATCTTCTTAGTATCCCTGGCATCTTGCCGGCTCCTACTCCCTGTTACCATGACGACGGACCACTGACGACAAGGACACCCCCACTCTACATACAAGTGTGTGCACCTGTGTATGCGTCTGTATTCCCAGGGTATAAAAGCTAAGAGACAGCACCTGCTACAGCCTAGGGACGTACACTGAAGTCTGTAAAATGCTTTATCACAAGAACCCATACCATCATGATGACATTAAACATTAACATGAATATGTTATAAGTGTGAGTCAGTTATGTGGTCTGGGGCGATGTTAGACTGGGCATGCTCAGACAGCTTAGTGCTGCCAAGGCAACCACATCTAGTCTGATGGCAGACCAACCTGGAGTAGAGGAACAGAACACTGGCACACCGAAAGGAGGCACACGCATGCGCACACGCTTGTGGTCACTCCCCTCTCTCTCAAAAACACACACGTTCTGGTAGAGCATCTGCTATCTTTATATCACCCATCTCTAAATTGGCTATTACTCTGGCTGTCAAAACAAATAGGCAGCACCTCAATTGCACATCTTCAGCATTTCTTTCAGAATGCAGCAGTGGCGTTTATAACGGACATGCTAGTGTATCGTTTTGTCATTGGCAATTCTCTTTTTGGGAGGCAAGCAGTGCAGAACCATGCAATTAAGAATGGTACAATTTTACACCTGTCAAACTTCAGTAATATCCTTCATTTCAACATAGTTGAGGTATGGAAGGGATGTGGGCTAACCTTACACAGCCTGAAAAGGCTGCAAGGCAGCGCTCGCTAGGGGAGAGGAAATGCCTCCCATCCATCTCTATCTGCACAGCTGTCACCCTGCATAACCCTCTCTGGGTTGCATCCCAAATGGCACCCTATTGCTTATGTAGCCCTATGGGCCCTGGTCAAAAGAAGTGCACTACATCGGTGCCATTTGGGACGCCACCCTGGTCTTTATCTGCTGCCTCAAAACCTAACCTGCCTCAAAACCTAAGCCCCCATTGGCCACGTCCCAATCGGCCAACCGCCTTATCAACAATACTGAGGAAAGACTGGAGACGCATGCTCACACCACCCTAATACTATGACGATTTGGTTAGACAAGGTGCAATGAGGGGCAACAGAGAGACAACCTGCATCATAACTGTAACTGCTCGGTCTGCTGTGGCCATGGTCCCACTATTAATGCACTTGCTTATACACAGAAACACACGCAGCCACAGGTGCACACACACGCACCATCTGTCCTCCTGACACGGTTAATAGACAAACTGCAGAGCAGTACTTAGTGGGTGAGTTACAGAGCCCAGGGGAGAAATATCTATGGAAGGTCCTGGAAGACCTTTACCTCACTTGGTCCGCTCAACACTGACTCAGTAGTACTGAGTAGTACTTTAGTAGTACTCTACTGCTCTCTGCTGGTTGCGCTAAGCACTGCACCCGAACACACACAACACCACACTGTACTTCCATCCCTTTCTCCCAGTCTGTATACGTCGATCAATACTCAGCGGGGGAAATATTAACTGGTTTCTAGTTTCTCTTAACGTTTAGTTCCCAAAGTCAAGCCCTGATTTCATTCAGTAGATGGAAACACCACTGATGAAAAACTTAATTTTATCTCTGAACTTGGAGATTCTACTGAATTACCGCAAACATTTTAAGGGGATAAATGTTCACACTTTCAGTGGTGGTGAACTGCCAACAGACATTCTAGACAAGAGTGTATTAGATAGGTTAGAACATTTGAAAAACAGAGCAAGGATGAGAAGCCAAGGAGGAAGCTCCACTGTTAACTTACTACACGGTTAGAATAAGAAAGTAATTTGTTGAGCTCTTATATTAATCAATCACTTTAGCAAGTTTTTCTAAAACATAAGTGTACTGTTTTTATGAACACAATAACCCCCTTGCATCTCCAGTCAGTTACTTTTGTCTCCTATTCTTTTGAAAAGCATGAGCTGGCGCACACCCAAAAAAGTTAGTAGAGGTGCTGACAAATGGCGAGGAAACTGTAGGCTATAAAAATAGAGTTGCACGCACACACACAAGCTCCCAGTAATTGATTGGGTAAACCACCCAATTAATTACTGGGAGCTTATATACAGATTGTGCGACTATTTGTATAGCCTACAGCCTCCTAGGCTTTTGACAGGTAACCTTTTGTTTCTTACCCCCCTTACCGAGAAAACAATCTGATTATGTCCTGCATCAGTGAAAACAATGCTCTCTCCCGTTTAGCATTGCCAGTGACAATGGTGTCCCGCCCACCCTCTATCTTGTTTCCCAGCATGTCATCTTGTAGTTCAGTAGACCAGAGGCACATTGAAAGCATTGGCTCGGACCAAACGTGTTGCAGAACTGGCCGTCACAATCACATCGCAGATGTCGGCTGGCTTCCTCGCTGGCGTTTCACGTCTAGGTGTTCCCTTTGTCCAATGGCGTAGCAGGCTGCTGTTAACCTATACCAATAGCACTGTACTGTTCCATTTCCTCAACCAGTGGGGTGGAAGAATTCAGATAGTGTCCCGCCCCATGTCAGGGGTGATGCATGGAGGAAAAAGTATATGCTGCCCTTAATTGCTCGTCATCGATCTGCGAATTCCTGGGTTTGTGTGATAAAAAAAAAAAAAATCGGTTTCCAGTGTCATTTGGGGAGTGAATCGCCTCAGTTCTCTTTTAGTTTTTTTTGTTTCTTTTGCAGATGGCGTTCTAGGTTGTGGCTGTGATGGCGTGAGTGGGCCGATTCTGGTGGAGTATTTAGGATGTGGCGATCTCGCCCCCTAGATGGCGCCATCCCTTCTGTGTCTCCAGAGCAGGGAGATATTCTAGAATAGAGAGAAGGTTCAAGAAACCAAACTCAACCTCTCACTTCCTGACAGTAAAGCTGCAGATAGATATGTAACAAACAGAGCAGACTGTGTCCAGTGTCCACTCTACACTTCTGCCTTTGCTGTTAATTTGCTGGTTACTTGCCTTTGCTGCTCTTTACATTTCCTGTTAATTTGCATTTGCTGTTCACTTTCCTTTTCCATTAATATTCCATTGCTGTTCACTTGTCTTCCCTGTTAATTGCCTTTACTGGTCACTTTGCATTTGCCATTCATTTCCTTTGTTGTTAATTTGCCTTTGCTATATCACAAACTCTCCCACAGGGTAAATACCTATCAGTCTGTGTCTATTCATCTTTGTGAAGTGACCTTGATGTGGATCACATGGCTGCTGTTCTTTTATGCTCATAAGCATACACTTGTATATGTACTCCTGTACACCTCGCCTCAGGAGATGATTAACTCTGTTCTGTTCTCACTCATTCTTACCTACTGGGAGTGTTGGACGGGGGTGCTTTAAGCTTTCATGTCAGTGGACTGTTAACTCATAAAATCTTTATATCTCTCACTTCCTCTCACATCCACTATGTACTGGAAACAGTAGCATTGTGAAGGGTTCATGTGGTTTATGTTGGGGAACAAGGCTGACAGGATCTTTCCAGAGCACACTTACCGTTGTTACTGCAGTTCTGGTTGTCTTTGTCAGAGGCCTCATTTTCAACCTAAAATGTGGATAGGGAAAGGAGAAAGAGTGTGAGAAAATAATCATCGGCAGAGAGAGAGGGAAATGGACATTTAGAGTGCCTAACGTTGTAAAATCCATTGTCTAAAACTCTTGGGCCAGTAACTGAAAGGTCGCTGGTTCGAATACCTGAGCCGACAAGGTGAAAAATCTGTTTATGTGCCCTTAAGCAAGGCACTTAACCCCGATTTGCTCCAGGGGCGCAGTACTACTATGGCTGACCCTGTAACACATTTCATTGCACCTATCCAGCGTATGTGACAATAAAACATGTATTTTTATATAACATTGTAAGACAATGGCTGTGTCCCAAATGGCATCCTGTTCAGGGATTTTGCATTAATTTAGTGGAATTAAAATTGGTGCATGTGTATTCATTAGTTGTCATGTATCCTATTTATCATCACACATGCACAGCATACAGAGCCTAATTTGAGGAGCAGAATAGCCTATCAGCTGTCAGACAGCGTGAGAGCACCTAAAAAAAGCTAGTACTGGAGTGAAAGAAGCTGTTATAAGCCCAACAATTCTAAAAGCAATCACGTGTTAAAAACTTTGATGGCCACGATTAAAAAGGGCTACCATTTTATTTCTCAACCTCATCTCACAAGTCATGCATGCTTTCCATTTGCCATTCGAGTGCATACGCTAAAGTCAATGAGACACCACTTTGAAACGTGAGCTTGAGCCAGTATAATAATTTTAAACCTGAATGCTTTACTTTACTTCAAATAATGAGGTATGTCTTACCTTGCTTCAAAGTAGCCTAGCAAAAATCCAACCAAAAAACGTGGAGGCAATTATTTTATAAAGACTTCCTCATGCCATTAACCATAATTTGTCTACTGTTCTATTGGTTTTCATATCAACTTTCTCTCTCATATCAACTGTTTTCCCACTAATTGCATTTTGGCAAATGCTTTAAAATTGCATTTTATTAGCTGCTTCATTACAGGAGTTGCATGTTCAACAATGTTCCCTCTAAGCTGCGCGCAGCTCCCCTCGGACTGCCACGCAGAAGAAATATCAGCCTGCGCAGAGAAGCACGAGATTGAACTTCACTCAACTTTCTACAGTTTTCCCCTTTAGTTAACACTATCAACGCAATATCAAATCAATTTTTTTTTGCCACATGCGCCGAATACAACAGGTGTAGACCTTACAGTGAAATGCTTACTTACAAGCCCTTAACCAACAATGCAGTTTTAAGAAAAATAAGTGTTATGTAAAAAATAGATCAGTAAAAATTAAAAATAATTAAAGAACAGCAGTAAAATAAAATAACAGTAGGGAGGCTATATACAGTGCCTTGCAAAAGTATTCATCCCGCTTCACACTTTTCCTATTTTGTTGCATTACAACCTGTAATTGAAATGGATTTTTATTTGGATTTCATGTAATGGACATTAACAAAATAGTCCAAATTGGTGAAGTGGAATGAAAAAAATAACTTGTTTCAAAAAATAAATAACGGAAAAGTGGTGTGTGCATATGTATTCACCCCCATTGCTATGAAGCCCCTAAATAAGATCTGGTGCAACCAATTACATTTTAGTCATTTAGCAGACACTCTTATCCAGAGCGACTTACAGTTAGTAAATACATTTTCATACTGGCCCCCCGTGGGAAATGAACCCACAACCCTGGCGTTGCAAGCGCCATGCTCTACCAACTGAGCTACAAGGGTCACATAATTAGTTAAATAAAGTCCACCTGTGTGAAATCTAAGTGTCACATGATCTCATATATATATATATATATATATATATATATATATACATATACATACACATATACACACACACACACACATACACCTGTTCTGAAAGGCCCCAGCGTCTGCAACACCACGACGCAAGGGGCACCACCAAGCAAGCGACCCCATGAAGACCAAGGCGCTCTCCAAACAGGTCAGGGACAAAGTTGTGGAGAAGTCCAGATCAGGGTTGGGTTATAAAAAAATATCCGAAACTTTTAACATCCCACGGAGCACCATTAAATCCATTATTAAAAAATGGAAAGAATATGGCACCACAACAAACCTGCCAAGAGAGGGCCGCCCACCAAAACTCACGGACCAGGCATGGAGGACATTAATCAGAGAGGCAACAAAGACACCCCTGAAGGAGCTGCAAAGCTCCACAGCGGAGATTGGAGTATCTGTCCATAGGACCACTTTCAGCCGTACACTCCACAGAGCTGGGCTTTACGGAAGAGTGGCCAGAAAAAAGCAATTGCTTATAGAAAAAAAATAAGCAAACATGTTTGGTGTTCGCCAAAAGGCATGTGGGAGACTCCCCAAACATATGGAAGAAGGTCCTCTGGTCAGATGAGACTAAAATTGAGCTTTTTGGCCATCAAGGTAAACGCCATGTCTGGCGCAAACCCAACACCTCTCATCACACCGAGAACACCATCCCCACAGTGAAGCATGGTGGTGGCAGCATCATGCTGTGGGGATGTTTTTCCATCGGCAGGGACTGAGAAACTGGTCAGAATTGAAGGAATGATGGATGGCGCTAAATACAGGGAAATTCTTGAGGGAAACCTGTTTCAGTCTTCCAGAGATTTAAGACGGGAGGATGGAGGTTCACCTTCCAGCAGGACAATGACCCTAAGCAACACTCAAGTGGTTTAAGGGGAAACATTTAAATAATGTCTTGGAATGGCCTAGTCAAAGCCCATACCTCAATCCAATTGAGAATGTGGTATGACTTAAAGATTGCTGTACACCAGCGGTACACATCCAACTTGAAGGAGCTGGAGCAGTAGTTTTGCCTTGAAGAATGGGCAGAAAAATCCCAGTGGCTGGATGTGCCAAGCTTATAGAGACTTACCCCAAGAGACTTGCAGCTGTAATTGCTGCAAAAGGTGGCTCTACAAAGTATTGACTTTGGGGGGTTGAATAGTTATGCACGTTCAAGTTCTGTTTTTTTGTCTTATTTCTTGTTTGTTTCACAAGAAAACATATTTTGCATCTTCAAAGTGGTAGGCATGTTGTGTAAATCAAATGATACAACCCCCCCAAAAATCAATTTTAATTCCACGTTGTAAGGCAACAAGATAGGAAAAATGCCAAGGGGGGTGAATACTTTCGCAAGCCAGTGGGTACCAGTACATAGTCAATGTGCGGGGACACAGGTTAGTCGAGGTAATTGAGGTAATATGTGGGTAGAGTTAAAGTGACTATGCATAGATAATAAACAGAGAGTAGCAGCAGCGTAAAAGAGGGGGTGGGGTGGAGGGGACAATGCAAACAGTCCGGGTAGCCATGATTAGCTGTTCAGGAGTCTTATGGCTTGGGGGTAGAAGCTGTTAAGAAGCCTTTTGGACCTAGACTTGGTGCTCCGGTACCGCTTGCCGTGCGGTAGCAGAGAGAACAGTCTATGACTAGGGTGGCTGGAGTCTTTGACAATTTCTAGGGCCTTCCTCTGACACCGCCTGGTATAGAGGTCCTGGATGTCAGGAAGCTTGGCCCCAGTGATGTACTGGGCCATATGCACTACCCTCTGTAGTGCCTTGCGGTCGGAGGCTGAGCAGTTGCCATTCCAGGCGGTGATGCAACCAGTCAGGATGCTCTCGATGGTGCAGCTGTAGAACTTTCTGAGGATCTGAGGACCCCATGCCAAATCTTTTCAGTCTCCTGGGGGGGAATAGTCTTTGTCGTGCCCTCTTCACGACTGTCTTGCTGTGTTTGGATCATGATAGTTTGTTGGTGATGTAGACACCAAGGAACTTGAAGCTCTCAACCTGTTCCACTACAGCCCATTCGATGAGAATGGGGGCGTGCTCTGTCCTCTTTTTTCCCCCCTGTAGTCCACAATCATGTAATTTGTCTTGATCATGTTGAGGGAGAGGTTGTTATCCTGGCACCACACGGCCAGGTCTCTGACCTCCTCCCTATAGGCTGTTTCATCGTTGTCGGTGATCAGGCCTACCACTGTTGTGTCATCGGCAAACTTAATGATGTTGTTGGAGTCGTGCCTGGCCATGCAGTCTTGGGTGAACAGGGAGTACAGGAGGGGAATGAGCACGCACCCCTGAGGGGCGCCCGTGTTGAGGATCAGTGTGGCAGATGTGTTGTTACCTACCCTTACCATCTGGGGGCGGCCCGTCAGGAAGTCCAGGATCCAGTTGCAGAGGGAGGTGTTTAGTCCCAGGGTCCTTAGCTTAGTGATGAGCTTTGAGGGCATTATGGTGTTGAATGCTGAGCTGTAGTCAATGAATAGCATTCTCACGTAGGTGTTCCTCTTGTACAGGTGGGAAAGGGCAGTGTGGAGCGCAATAGAGATTGCATCATCTGTGGATCTGTTGGGGCGGTATGCAAATTGGAGTGGGTCTAGGGTTTCTGGGATAATGGTGTTGATGTGAGTCATGACCAGCCTTTCAAAGCACTTCATGGCTACAGACGTGAGTGCTACGGGTTGATAGTCATTTAGGCAGGTTATCTTAGCGTTCTTCGGCACAGGGACTATGGTGGTCTGCTTGAAACATGTTGGTATTACAGACTCAGTCAGGGACATGTTGAAAATGTCAGTGAAGACGCTTGCCAGTTGGTCAGCACATGCTCGGAGTACACGTCCTGGTAATCCGTCCGGCCCTGCGGCCTTGTGAATGTTGACCTGCTTAAAAATCTTACTCACATCGGCTACGGAGAGCGTGATCACAGCTGATGCTCTCAATATTAGCCACTTTCAATGTAATATACCGAAACAAAACGAACCATGCAAGATTTAGTATGCAAAACTAACTGTGCAAGAGATTTTCTTGTAGGCAGAGTACATTGGAGTAGGATTCTATTGCATGGACAGGCACGACTCAGGGCCCATACTCTCTACACAAACCAGTGCGCCATTACCAATCAGAGCTGCAGTAGGCCTTTATACGCAAATAGCCATATATGGATCTGGGCCATTCACTTTGAACTGGACTGTGTTTAGGCTACAGTATGAGCGATCGCGGGTAGATGCGCTTGTTTAGAGATCAAAGTGAGAGCTGCATGTAGTCACGTGTGCACATTAGTTCAGATTTTTTACTAGTTAGTGAGTTATTAGCCCAGTTATAGTTAATTTCTGGTCAACAATAGGGGAATGTTCGCTTCTAACAGGAGAACAAAGTGTGTGCATTTCTAGCCATCTTTGAAAAACGTGTCAGGTAAAGAGCTTTTTTTATGTCTTAAAGGGGAAGTGTTATATTTTTGAGACTGTCTTGAATAAGCTAAGTAGCCAATAGCCAGAGCGTAGCATAATTTGTCTGATTCTCTGAATAATAATGACTTATTTTGTAAAGTGGTTTCTTTTATCAAACAACATTTTCAGTCACCTTGTCTGAAGGACAAGTGGATAAACAGGTTAATGTCAAGCCCTGCATGTTTCTTTTTCAAAAGTCTCATGGAATGTAGGCATTGAACACCACACATTGGCTGCTACTGTAGGCTGAATGATAGAACAGCCATTTACATGTTAAAATGCTATGGGATGCATTTTTCTCCATTGTTTGATGTTAGGCCACTCTGGTAGGCCTACATTATAATCAAATAGCCACATTAACTTACTTGGCCACTGTTAAAACTAACTTAAAGCAGTGTTCACAGTACACGCAAGCCGGACGTTGCACAGAAATTTGATAACGTTCAAGTTTTTCGCTCTGCAGACCTGAAATTTGCTCATTGATGTTCAATAATAGGCTATATGTAGTAACCAGAAAAGTGTTAAATAAAAACATTTTATATTTGAGATTCTTCAAATAGCCACCCTTAGCCTTTATGACAGCTTTGCACACTACTGGCATTCTCTCAACCAGCTTCATGAGGTAGTCACCTGGAATGCATTTCAATTAACAGGTGTGCCTTCTTAAAAGTTAATTTGTGGAATTTCTTTCCTTCTTAATGTGTTTGAGCCTATCAGTTGTGTTGTGACAAGGTAGGGGGGGTATACAGAAGATGGATATATTTGGTAAAAGACAAGTCCATATTATGGCAAGAACAGCTCAAATTAGCAAAGAGAAACGACAGTCCATCATTACATTAAGACATGAAGGTCAGTCAATACGGAACATTTCAAGAACTTTGAAAGTTTCTACAAGTGCAGTCGCAAAAAACATCAAGCTCTATGATGAAACTGGCTCTCATGAGGACCGCCACATGAAAGGAAGACCCAGAGTTACAGTGGGGAAAAAAAGTATTTAGTCAGCCACCAATTGTGCAAGTTCTCCCACTTAAAAAGATGAGAGAGGCCTGTAATTTTCATCATAGGTACACGTCAACTATGACAGACAAATTGAGAAAAAAAAATCCAGAAAATCACATTGTTGGATTTTTCAATGCATTTATTTGCAAATTATGGTGGAAAATAAGTATTTGGTCACCTACAAACAAGCAAGATTTCTGGCTCTCACAGACCTGTAACTTCTTCGTTAAGAGATTCCTCTGTCCTCCACTCGTTACCTGTATTAATGGCACCTGTTTGAACTTGTTATCAGTATAAAAGACACCTGTCCACAACCTCAAACAGTCACACTCCAAACTCCACTATGGCCAAGACCAAAGAGCTGTCAAAGGACACCAGAAACACAATTGTAGACCTGCACCAGGCTGGGAAGACTGAATCTGCAATAGGTAAGCAGCTTGGTTTGAAGAAATCAACTGTGGGAGCAATTATTAGGAAATGGAAGACATACAAGACCACTGATAATCTCCCTCGATCTGGGGCTCCACGCAAGATCTCACCCCGTGGGGTCAAAATGATCACAAGAACGGTGAGCAAAAATCCCAGAACCACACGGGGGGACCTAGTGAATGACCTGCAGAGAGCTGGGACCAAAGTAACAAAGCCTACCATCAGTAACACACTACGCCGCCAGGGACTCAAATCCTGCAGTGCCAGACGTGTCCCCCTGCTTAAGCCAGTACATGTCCAGGCCCGTCTGAAGTTTGCTAGAGTGCATTTGGATGATCCAGAAGAGGATTGGGAGAATGTCATATGGTCAGATGAAACCAACATATAACTTTTAGGTAAAAACTCAATTCGTTGTGTTTGGAGGACAAAGAATGCTGAGTTGCATCCAAAGAACACCATACCTACTGTGAAGCATGGGGGTGGAAACATCATGCTTTGGGGCTGTTTTTCTGCAAAGGGACCAGGACGACTGATCCGTGTAAAGGAAAGAATGAATGGGGCCATGTATCGTGAGACTTTGAGTGAAAACCTCCTTCCATCAGCAAGGGCATTGAAGATGAAACGTGGCTGGGTCTTTCAGCATGACAATGATCCCAAACACACCGCCCGGGCAATGAAGGAGTGGCTTCGTAAGAAGCATTTCAAGGTCCTGGAGTGGCCTAGCCAGTCTCCAGATCTCAACCCCATAGAAAATCTTTGGAGGGAGTTGAAAGTCCATGTTGCCCAGCGACAGCCCCAAAACATCACTGCTCTAGAGGAGATCTGCATGGAGGAATGGGCCAAAATACCAGCAACAGTGTGTGAAAACCTTGTGAAGACTTACAGAAAACGTTTGACCTGTGTCATTGCCAACAAAGGGTATATAACAAAGTATTGAGAAACTTTTGTTATTGACCAAATACTTATTTTCCACCATAATTTGCTAATAAATTCATAAAAAATCCTACAATGTGATTTTCAGGATTTTTCTCCCTCATTTTGTCTGTCATAGTTGAGGTGTACCTATGATGAAAATTACAGGCCTCTCTCATCTTTTTAAGTGGGAGAACTTGCACAATTGGTGGCTGACTAAATACTTTTTTTCCCCACTGTACCTCTGCTGCAGAGGATAAGTTCATTAGTTACCAGCCTCAGAAATCGGCAATTAACTGCACCTCAGATTGCAAGTAACAGACACATCAACATCAACTGCTCAGAGGAGACTGCGTGAATCAGGCCTTCATGATCGAATTACTGCAAAGAAACCACTACTAAAGGACACCAATAAGAAGAAGAGCCTTGCTAGGGCCAAGAAACATGAGCAATGGGCATTAGACCAGTGGAAATCTGTCCTTTGGTCTGATGAGTCCAAATTTGAGATTTTTGGTTCCAACCGCCGTGTCTTTGTGAGACGCAGAGTAGGTGAACGGATGACCTCTGCATGTGTGGTTCCGACAGTGAAGCATGGAGGAGGCTGGTGACACTGTCAGTGATTTATTTAGAATTCAAGGAACACTTAACCAGCATGGCTACCACAGCATTCTGCAGCGATACGCCATCCCATCTGGTTTGGGCTTAATGGGACTATAATTTGTTTTTCAACAGGACAATGACCCAAAACACACCTCCAGGCTGTGTAAGGGCTATTTGACCAATAAGGAGAGTGATGGAGTGCTGCATCAGATGACCTGGCCTCCACAATCACCCGACCTCAACCCAATTGAGATGGTTTGGGATGAATTGGACTGCAGAGTGAAGGAAAAGCAGCCAACAAGTGCTCAGCATGTGGGAACTCCTTCAAGACTGTTGGAAAAGCATTCCTCATGAAGCTGGTTGAGAGAATGCAAAGAGTGTGCAAAGCTGTCATCAAGGCAAAGGGTGGCTACTTTGAAGAATCTAAAAATATGTTGATTTGTTTACTACATGATTCCATATGTGTTATTTCATAGTTTTGATGTCTTCACTATTATTCTACAATATAGAAAATAGTAAAAATAAAGAAAAACCCTTGAATGAGTAGACGTGTCCAAACTTTTGACTGGTACTGTATATATTTCAAGTTTTGCAATATCATAGGCATCATGATTTATAATACTGGTATACATTCGAATTTAACAGCTGATCTTTTACATTGAAGTAGGCCTATGTATCAAGTTTTATTGTCATGTGCACAAGTAGCCTACAATGAAATGCCTTTCTTGCTTGCCCTTTCCCAACAATGCAGTAATGAATATCAGTGGTACTATAAAAACATTCATACAAATGTGAAGTAGAACAGAAACACACGAGAAATAGAACTGTAACTACTGTAAGTAATGTAAAAAAAAAAATGTGTAGCCTGCCCTACAATGTTTCAGAATTCACAAGCAGTCTATCATATTTAGGTTGGGGGGGGAAAAAGTCGATATAAAACATTATTGAATTCAAACTTTCTGCTGACAGGTCCACGGCAACTTGCCATTGTTCGGGTTCAGAAACTGACTGTCCTTTTCCAGATACAGCATAAATTACTGCTAAAGATTAGAACTTGTTGTGTATTGGAGGAGAAGGAAGGGTGCGACTCTTACCTGTTTCCTCCACTTGAGCTCACAGAAGACCCTCTCGAAGCACTCGTGCATGTAGTTGAACTGGGGAGAGACGACACGCACTTTGTTAGAAGGAACTGCTCCAAATAGATTTTTATCAACAATGTCTACACCCAAATTTGCACCCTATTCCCAGAGCCCTTATCAAAAGTAGTATGCCATTTGGGACAGACTCCACACCCTAAATTTCTATATCCTGTTGTATTCCATTATCTTAACCCAGTGTTTTATGTGAGCTGTCCGAGTGCGTTTTGTCTGTTGTGTATTTTAGACTCACGTATGGTGTGAAGATCTTGACCCAGCGAGGCTTCTTCTCCCCCCTGGCGTACTCAAAGCAGAATGCCATGCCCTCCTCGTCGTTGTCCCAGCGCTGCATCTCCGCCCACTCAAACGCTATCACCTGGTTCTGATGGGGCAGGAGAGAGAATGGTAAGTACATACACACAGAGTATGAGCCAGCGTGTACACACTCATGTTTTTAATTTTCTTCTGTGTGTGATATAGTGTGGTGTGTGCAGCGCTTCTTAGTCAGTGTACACACCACTATAAGTCAGTGTACACATACTCCAATCTCACTCACCTCAAGCGTGCCGTCCTCTGAGCAGGCATGCAGCTTGAAGTGGTGCATGCTGATGGCCGTGATGACGTGGCCCTTCCTCCGGGAGTCACAGGCGCAGTGGGGGAACATGACCTCGTTGTAGCCCTCACAGGAGCGCAGCAGACTCAGGTACTGACAGACACAAGACAAGAGACCACCATCAACCATACAAGTAGGCACCAAACAGGCACGTACACATTCAATATACACATTAATACACCTACACATTTTATGTCAGCAATGGACATATAACAGCAACATGAAAGGCACGTACTGTACACATTCTCATACTTTATGTTAGGCACATACGAGTTATAATATATGCAATTTTTAGCAGATGCTTTTATCAAAAGCATACATTTTACGTGCGCATAGTCCCAGGAATCGAACCCACTATCCTGTGTTGCAAGCGCCATGCTCTACCAACTGAGCTACAGAGGACCACTTGCAATGGGAAGAGAATAGAAACAAGAGACTAGAAAAGGGACTAACCATGGCCATCTTGCGCTGCTCTGCCAGTTTCGTCAGCTGGTAAGACTTGTCTTCTGTTTTGATGAATCCCTTCTTCACGTCATCCAATGCCTTAGCAGACAGAGAAAGGGGCTTTTGTTAGAGACCACGTTCCATCTAATCTAGCACAGAGCAGCGGCACGCAAATGTAATCTCATTCAAACTGACCACGGATCAGAATTGAGACAGTAGGCTACCACTGACTCAGGACCAGTAATAAGAGTCACCAGATAATTTTTTCATCTTATATAGCGCTTTTCATTACAGACCCAGAATCTCAGAGCTCTTGAAAAGCAAAACAAACATCAAATAAAACATATAGCTAGCTATATGACAGAGTAGGTCTGGAACAATGTTCCCGCTCATTTTATTCGGCCCTGAGCAAATTTAAAGTCTGCTGAATTCTGTGCATCTTCCGGCATGCGTTTACTGTGAACACTGAGGCTGTACCCGCTTTAAGTTACAGTTTTAACAGTGGCCAAGTTGGCTACTGTGGCTATTTGATCATAATGTAGGCCTACCAGAGTGGCCTACCGTCAAAAACAATGGAGGAAATGCATCCCATAACATTTAAACATATAAATAGCTGTTCTATCATTCAGCCTACAGTAGCAGCCAATGTGTGGTGTTCAATGCCTACATTCCATTAGACTTTTGAAAATAATAACATGCAGGGCTTGACATTAACCTGTTTATCCACTTGTCCTTCAGACAAGGAGGTGACTGAAAATGTTGGTGTTTGATGCAAGAAAACATTTTACAAAATAAAATTCATTATTATTCCCAAACCATTATTACAGAGAATCAGACAAATTATGCTACCCTCTGCCTATTGGCTACTTAGCTTATTCAAGACAGTCTCAAAATACAACACTGCCCCTTTAAGACATAAAAAAAGCTATTTTTACCTGACTCGCTTTTCAAAGATGGCTAGAATTGCACACGTGTTATGCTTTTGTAGGAAGCAACCACTCCCCCATTGTTGACTAGAAATTAGATATAACTGGGCTAATAACTCACTAACTATCAAAGAACATGAACAAATGTGCACAAGTGGCTACATGCAGCTCTCACTTTAATCTCAAAACAAGCGCATCTACTCGGGCCGCTCATGCTGTAAACACAGTCCAGTGAATGGCACAGATCCATCTATGGGAATGGCTATTTGCATATAGGCCTACTGCAGCTCTAATTGGTTATGGCGCACCGGTCTGTGTATAATACGGGCCTGAGTCGTGCCTGTCAATGCAACCGAATCTTACTCCAATTCGCTCTGCCTACAAGAAAATCTCTTACACAGTTAGTTTTGCATACTAAGGCTTGCATACTTCGTTTTGTTTCGGTACGTTACATTGAAAGCGGCTAATTTTGTGTTGATTCGAGCACACTTCCCACAATAGAGCAAAACGTTGATAGTGTTAACGAAAGGTGAAAACTCTAGAAAGTTGAATGAAGTTCAATCTCGTGCTTCTCTGCATGGGCTGATATTTCTTCTGCACGCCAGTCCGAGGGGAGCTGTGTGAATGCACGCAGCTTAGAGGGAACATTGGTCTGGACTACAAAGTTTAGAGTATTTTAAGCCGCCAACAGATCGTTGGAGGGACAGTCGAGAGAGTCCTTACCTGGTGGAAGCAGTAGTGAACGGCTAGAGGTTTGTCCCTGAGCAGCTCCTCCTCCTGAGAGGTGAAGAGCCACTTGCGGAGGGCCAGACAGGTACCCGGCACGGCCGATGTGTAGTTCTGCACGTACAACTTGTGGGGGAACTCGTTGGGGGCCAGTTTTCTCACTAGGGAAAGGGGGAGAGGAGGTTAAGGGTGCGTCTCAATAGACTAGAGAGGTTTTGAGTTGTCTCCTTCTCGTCGTCAGCACAGATCTGGAAACACAGGCTGTGAGGAGACGACATGGCGGAAACATGTTTTGGTGCCTACTTTAATTTCAATTTCTATATCAATTTTTAGATCGGTGCAGTTGAAGGGAAGGAGACATGGAGAGGAAGCCACTTTAGACTACTGAGATGCAACTGTACTGATCAGAAGAGTAAAGGTGAAAGGGTAGGTCCATGGACTAGCTGTGGACTCCAGAGGAATGAATGAATAAACGGATGGTCTTACCAAAGGAGTGGTTGATGACTTCAAAGAGGGCAAAGTAGCTGGCCATAATGCTGTCCATACCAACCTTCATCACTAAAGCCTGGGGATGGAGAGAGGGAAAGTACAGTGGCGGCCCATCAGTTACTGATATTTAAGCCCCATAAGAGCCATGCATGCATTGATGTTGATCTAGTGTTATATACTCTGGTCCTGTGAGTGCAAGCCTTTGTCCCAGCCTAGCATTAACCCACCAGATGATTCAAATAACCAGGGTCTTTTATATACTTGTATCAGTGGTGTACTGAATGTTGCAGATAGAAATTAAATTAATAGAGCTGACGAGTCCCCATCATATAAATCGGACACAGCAATCATATCATATCTGAAAGTTCTGTAATGTTACGGTCTCCTGAACATGGCCCATATTTACAAAGTGTCTCAGAGTAGGAGTGCTGATCAGGATCAGTTTTGCCTTTCATCTCATAATAAGACCGGTGGGACCTGATCCTAGATCAGCACACCTACTTTGAGATGCTTTGTGAATACAGGCCACGCAGGCCCCAGGTATTGTAGGGCTGTAAGGAAAGCCAGCACACACTGTTGCTCTCTAGGCAGGGCTTTACATTTAAAAAAATGTCATTGGTAGCAATGGTGCTTCCAACCTAAAAAAAGCTAGGAGCACAACATAAAACGTATAAGCACCAGAGAAAATATATTTTTAATTGACTGATAGCCTATATGAATTCTAGATACTTTTGAAGCACGTTGTACCCTAGAAACTAATATATAACTTGTAAAGACATTTGAATATTATTAAAAGCTAAAATGTTGATACAAAAACATGTTATTTTTACTACAAAGTCACTGGTGGAATATTGGGTTTCTACATTGTGTTAAAGCACTATTTAACTATCGAGTTGCATCACATTGAAAATTATACACTCTTTAAAGGGTACTGCAGCATATTACTATAGCAAAGGCCATAGAAATAGCCAGGAAAAGGATGAATATTTTGTATGATATCGATAGCCCATTGCTTAATACCAGAAATAAGATGGACCTGCTTATTCATTAATATAGGTATCTGCTACTAGAAATAAAAATCTATTTCTTGATAGGCCTATATGATCAATGGCTTGTGCTTTACATTTCCATGCACAGCGGGGGCTAAAATGGTGGCTAAAACCTTACCTACTTTGTTGGATAATAGTCACAGTTGAAAAATGCAATCATAAACTAATTTACTGGAACATGACAGCCAGCCAAAGGTAAGCTACCTCGTTTTAAACGACATTGCTAGTTATTGAAATGTGACCGTAGCATTTCTGTTGTCAACACTGGCGACCACAATAGTAGCTACAGCAGTAGCCCAGCAGTTGAAAGTTGGCTGTGGCGCTGAAAATGCAGAGATGAGGGCGCGTAAGTCTATTACAAGCAGCGCCGGCCCATCAATCAAGAGAATGGCGAATAACATGTCCACCAGCATTGCACAGTTTCTGTAATTGTCATAACTGCATCTACAGTGCCTTCAGAAAGTATTCATACCCCTCGACTTATTCCACATTGTTGTTAGCCTGAATTCAAAATGGATAAACATTGTTTTTTTCCCCCCCTCAGCCATCTACACACAATACCCCATAATGACAAAGTGAAAAGATTTACATTTGTTTTGAAATGTATTAAAACTTAAAGAAATCGAATTTACATAAGTATTCACACCGCTTTGTTACGACACACCAAATTTTGCTCAGGTGCATCCAATTTCCTTTGATCATCCTTGAGATGTCACTACAACTTGATTAGAGTCCACCTGTGGCCAATTCAATTGTTTGGACATGATTTAGAAAGAAACACCCGTCTAGATAAGGTCCCACAGTTGACAGCGCATGTCAAAGCAGAAACTATACCATGAAGTCCAAAGAACTGTCCGTAGATCTCTGAGATAGAATTGTGATGAGGCATATATCTGCGGAAGGGTATAAAACAATTTCTAAAGTGTTGAAAGTTTCCAGGAGCACAGCGGTCTCCATCATTGAGAAATGGGAAAAATATGGAACGACAGACTGCCTAGAGCTGAAAGTCCGACCAAGCAAGAAGGACCTTGGTCAGGGAGGTGATCAAGAACCCAATGACCACTGACAGAACTACAGAGTTCCTTGCCTGAGATGGGAGAGCCTGCCAGAAGGACAAGTCTCTACAGCACTTCACCAATCTGGGCTTTATGGGAGAGCGACCAGACCGAAGCCACTCCTGAGAAAAATGCATTACAGCACGCCTGGAGTTTGCAAAAAGGCACCTGAAAGACTCAGATCATAAGCCAAAAGATTTGGTGGTCTGATGAGACAAAAACTTAACTCTTTGGCCTGAATGCAAAGCGCTATGTCTGGAGAAAACCAGGCACAGCTCAACACCCGTCTAACACTATCCCTACCGTGAAGCATGGTGGTGGCAGCATCATGCTATGGGAATGCTATTCAGCGGCAGGGACTGGGAGACTGGTAAGGATAGAGGGAACAATGAATGTAGCCAAATACAGGAAAATCCTTGAGAACCACTTCAGAGTGCAAACGACCTTAGACTGGGGCAAAGATTTGTTCCAACAGGACAATCATACAGCCAAAGCAATGCTGGAATGGCTTGAGAACAAGAATGTGAAAGTCCTTGAGTGGCCCTGCCAAAGCCCAGACTTTAAATCAAATAAAATGTTATTTGTCACATGCGCCGAATACAACAGTGAAATGCTTACTTACAAGCCCTTAACCAACAATGCAATTTTAAGAAAGAATACCCCAAAAAATACATTAAATAAAATAAAATAAAGAAATTAAAGTAACAAATAATTAAAGAGCAGCAGTAAAATAACAATAGCGAGGCTATATACAGGGGGTACCGGTACTGAGTCAATGTGTGGAGGCACCGGTTAGTCGAGGTAATAGGTACATGTAGGTAGAGTTATTAAAGTGACTATGTATAGATAATAAACAGAGTAGCAGCAGCATAAAAGACGGAGGGGAGATCTGAGGACCCATGCAAAATCTTTTCAGTCTCCTTAGGGGGAATAGGTTTTGTTGTGCCCTCTTCACAACTGTCTTGGTGTGCTTGCACCATGTTAGTTTGTTGGTGATGTGGAACTTGAAGCTCTCAACCTGCTCCACTACAGCCCCGTCGATGAGAATGGGGGCGTGCTCAGTCCTCTTCTTTTTCCTGTAGTCCACAATCATCTCCTTTGTCTTGATCACGTTGAGGGAGAGGTTGTTGTCCTGGCACCACACGGCCAGGTCTCTGACCTCCTCCCTATAGGCTGTCTCGTCGTTGTTGGTGATCAGGCAACAACCTGATCATCGGCAAACTTAATGATGTCGTCGGCAAACTTAATGATGATGTTGGAGCGTGCCTGGCCATGAAGTCATGAGTGAACAGGGAGTACAGGAGGGGACTGAGTACTCACCCCTGAGGGGCCCCCATGTTGAGGATCAGCGTGGCGGATGTGTTGTTACCTACCCTTACCACCTGAGGGCGGCCCGTCAGGAAGTCCAGGATCCAGTTGCAGAGGGAGGTGTTTAGTCCCAGGGTCCTTAGCTTAGTGATGAGCTTTGAGGGCACTATGGTGTTGAACGCTGAGCTGTAGTCAATGAATAGCATTCTCACATAGGTGTTCCTTTTGTCCAGGTGTGAAAGGGCAGTGTGGAGCGCAATAGAGATTGCATCATCTGTGGATCTGTTGGGGCGGTATGCAAATTGGAGTGGGTCTAGGGTTTCTGGGATAATGGTGTTGATGTGAGCCATGACCAGCCTTTCAAAGCACTTCATGGCTACAGACGTGAGTGCTACGGGTCTTAGTGTTCTTGGGCACAGGGACTTTGGTGGTCTGCTTGAAACATGTTGGTATTACAGACAGGGAGAATCCCATTGAAAGTCTGTGGAAAGACTACGACTGCTGTTCACCGCCGTTCCCCATCTAACGTAACAGAGCTTGAGAAAATCTGTACAAAGCTGATAATACCCAAGACGACTCAAAGCTGGAATTGCCGCCAACGGTGCTTCTACAAAGTATTGACTCGGGTGTGAATTACGTAAATGAGATATTGCTGTATTTCATTTGCAATTCAAAAAAATTCAAAAAACATGTTTTCACATTGTCATTATGGGGGTGTGTAGATGGGTGAGAAATCAATTTAATCCATTTGAATTCAAGCTGTAACAAAATGTGGAATAAGTCAAGGGTTATGACCACTTTCTGAAGGCACTGTAGCTATTCATTACAGTAGCTAGCGAGTGCTTTGTTAACTTTATTAGCACCATGTTTTGAGAGGTGGAAAATGCACGCACCACAGCCCGGTCCTATCAGGGGCTGCCAAATCCTCTCCCTCTCTGCCTTATTCGTGCTTTGTGCTGTCCCTCCAATAATGGCTTGAATAATTGGCTAGTCTGAGGAGTTTAGGCAGAGACCATTTTCTCTAGGGCACTCGGGAACAACGGTACAGCGAAGCCTAATCATTACAATTGGGTGATTTTTTCAATAGGCACACTGGTGCTCCCAAAATAAAAACATCAGGTCGCACAGCAAATATATTTAGGAGCATACGCAAACAAAATGGTCACACCTTAGAGCCCTGCCTCTAGGACTAGAAGTGAGGAACACAGCACTGCTCTATACCTGGTAGACTTGGTCAGTCGTGCTGTTCTTGCGCACCCTGACCGAGATGGTGGTCTTGTCTGGCAGGGCTATCCGCAGCTCCACGTCTGACACGCCATTGTAATTCTGACAAACACAGAAAGGAAGAGTGAGCATCAGTGTGCGTGTGTGTGTGTATATATATATATATATTTTAAGACGCTCTCTTGCAAACACACACAGCTACGGAAACTGCCTGCACAAACGTACCTCATCTGATTCAGACAGGAATTCCTGCATGATGTCACTCTCCCCAATCACCCGCACTGAACAAACTACAGAAGAAGAAGAGAGCAAAAGGTCATCTTACCATATTGCATTCACGTGCACACTTTGAAGTATGACACAATGGTCACTGCAGTTATATAAGAGGTACATACACATTCAAGGGCATTCAACAAGTATTGCAATGATTCGCGATCCGTCTGCAGGAGACAGCTCTCTATCTCGAAGTTCAACACACTGCATTACAGCATACGTGGTTTCTCACTTCTCCAAACACTCAGCTATGTGTTACTTTTTCCTCCAATGAACTCACACAGGCATTCCAAAAATAAAACCCGTGCTAAATATTATCTCATCTCTCCTCAACTGACTATTAATCTCCAGCACTGACAGATGGAAGGGGTGTAATACCACGTAATAATAATAATAATAGTAACATACACCAGATATACAAAACATTAAGAACACCTGCTCTTTCCATGACAAAGACTGATTAGGTGAAAGCTATGATCCCTTATTGATGTCACTTGTTAAATCCACTTCAAATCAGTGTAGATGAAGGGGAGGATACAGGTTAAAGAAGGATTTTTTAGCCTTGAGACAATTGAGACATGGATTGTGTGTCATTGAAAGGGTGAATGGGCAAGACAAACTTAAGTGTCTTTTGTTGTTGTTGTATTTTACACCCTTTTTCGCCCCAATTTTCGATCTTGTCTCATTGCTGCAACTCCCCATCGGGCTCAGGAGGCGAAGGTCAAGTTATGCGTCCTCCGAAACATGACCCGCCAAACCACGTTTCTTAACAACCGCCCACCTAACCCGGAAGCCAGCCATACCAATGTGTCAGAGGAAACACTGTTCAACTGTCGACCGGGGTCAGCCTGCAGGCGCCCGGCCCGCCACAAGGAGTCACTAGAGCGCGATGAGCCAAGTAAAGCTCACCCCCCCGGCCAAACCCTCCCCTAACCCGGACGACGCTGGGCCAATTGTACGCCGCCCTATGGGACTCCCGATCACGGCCGGTTGTGATACAGCCCGGGATCGAACCCGATGCAGTGCCTTAGACTGCTGCGCCACTCGGGAGGCCAAATTTAAGTGTCTTTGAACGGGGTATGGTAGTAGGTGCCACGCGCACCGGTTTGTGTCAAGAACTGCAACGCTGCTGGGGTTTTCAGGCTCACCAATTTCCCGTGTGTATCAAGAACTGTCCACCACCCAAAGGACATCCAGCCAACTTGACACAACTGTGGGAAGCATTGGAGTCAACATGGGCCAGCATCCCTGTGGAATGCTTTCGACACCTAGTCGAGTCCATGCCCCGATGAATTAAGGCTGTTCTGAGGGCAAAAGGGAGGTGCAACTCAATATTAGGAAGGCGTTCTTAATGTTTGGTATACTCAGTGTATACGTAAAATATACATCTGTGTAATATGATGCCTGTGGTGCTGGAGCTATAGGCACTATCCGCATGTCAGCGTTACACATTATTGAAGGGAATTAAGCTGCCATCCTGAACCTTCTGTGAGTATTTTCCTTATTTACCTCTCCTCACTTCTCTACAGGTACACTACCTCCTTCTCTACCTTTGCTCCCTTATTCTCCTCTCCCACCTCACCCCTCTCCAGATACTCCTCCAGACCCCTGCGGCGTGCGTCCAGCTGCTGCTCAGACAGGGAGAAGGGCCACTTCCCAGGGATCTTGGGGAAGGTGTAGCTGGCAAACTCCCTCTTCAGGTTCTGATTCAGGATAGCAAACTCCCGGTAGCGCTTGGAGCACAGCTGCCTGCCCGACATGTACACATTGTACACCTGTAGGGGACAGACCGAGGTGAATGGGAAGGCATCATATGACAGAACACTGGGGAAATTATGCACCGTATTCACTTGTCTCATCTTTTACATGTACACAGGGCTCTAAAGTGCGACCATTTTAGTTACATATGTTCCTAAATTTTTTGCTGTGCGACCTGGACTTTTAATTTGGGAGCACCAGTGCGCCTAGAAGAAAAAAAGAATCACCAAGATAATTGTTGTAATAAGGCTTCGCTGTAGCCTGCAGTTGTTTCCCCAAGCACAGATTCGTTAGTCATGGTTCAGGGGTTGACATTAACGGTTGCCCGATGGCCTGTGACACAAACTGAACAGTCGGGCAGGTGGAATCTGAAATTTAGTCCCAAAGACAACCGTTAATTTGCGTTGTATCTAGTGTTCCACTCATGTGCATTAGCGACTCACAACAAAAAAGAAACAAAGCCAAGTGATGACAGTTCTCTTTACATGATCTTTTCCCTCCGTAATGAGTCTCACTTAGATTTACTTTACCTAGCAAGACATAAAATAGGCGAGATACGCAGACGGATGTAGGGGCATACCGCCGAGTGTTTCAAGATAGATATTTTGGATCCAAACTGCTGCAGAAGACCTTCGATTTACCACCATCAGCTGTCCTGCCAGGTAACAACGCCAAGTCCACGTTTTCCAGGGAGATGCAGCTTTCCCACTACATGAGAACCTCATACGCCCTTATCCATAATGACAAAGCAAAAACAGGTTTTTAGAACGTTTTTGCAAATGTATTAATATAAAAAAACAGAAATACCTTATTTACATAAGTATTCAGACTCTTTGCTATGAGACTCGAAATTGAGCTCATGTGCATACTGTTTCCATTGATCATCCTTGATATGTTTCTACAACTTGATTGGAGTCCACCTGTGGTAAATTCAACTGATTGGAAATGATTTGGAAAGGCACACACCAACAACTTTCTGCAGCATTGAAGATCCCCAAGAACACAGTTGCCTCCATCATTCTTAAATGGAAGAAATTTGGAACCACCAAAACTCTTCCTAGAGGTTGCCGCCCGGCCAAACTGAGCAATCGGGGGAGAAGGGCCTTGGTCAGGGAGGTGACCAAGAACCAGATGGTCACTCTGACAGAACTCTAGAGTTCCTCTGTGGAGATGGGAAAACCTTCCAGAAGGACAACCATCTCTGCAGCACTCCACCTATCAGACATTTCTGGTAGAGTGACCATCTCCTGAGTGGCGCAGTGGTCTAAGGCCAGGGGAGGCGCTGTGCCACTAGAGATCCTGGTTCAAGTCCAGGCTCTGTCGCAGCCGGCCGCGACCGGGAGACCCATGGGCGGCGCACAATTGGTCCAGCGTCGTCCAAGGTAGGGGAGGGTTTGGCCGGCAGGGATCTGGGTTCGTTTCCCACGGGGGAATATTTTTTTTTAAAATTAATATATATACAGTGGGGAGAACAAGTATTTGATACACTGCCGATTTTGCAGGTTTTCCTACTTACAAAGCACGTAGAGGTCTGTAATTTTTTATCATAGGTACACTTCAACTGTGAGAGACGGAATCTAAAACAAAAATCCAGAAAATCACATTGTATGATTTTTAAGTAATTAATTTGCATTTTATTGCATGACATAAGTATTTGATCACCTACCAACCAGTAAGAATTCCGGCTCTCACAGACCTGTTAGTTTTTCTTTAAGAAGCCCTCCTGTTCTCCACTCATTACCTGTATTAACTGCACCTGTTTGAACTCGTTACCTGTATACAAGACACCTGTCCACACACTCAATCAAACAGACTCCAACCTCTCCACAATGGCCAAGACCAGAGAGCTGTGTAAGGACATCAGGGATACAATTGTAGACCTGCACAAGGCTGGGATGGGCTACAGGACAATAGGCAAGCAGCTTGGTGAGAAGGCAACAACTGTTGGTGCAATTATTAGAAAATGGAAGAAGTTCAAGATGACGGTCAATCACCCTCGGTCTGGGGCTCCATGCAAGATCTCACCTCGTGGGGCATCAATGATCATGAGGAAGGTGAGGGATCAGCCCAGAACTACACGGCAGGACCTGGTCAATGACCTGAAGAGAGCTGGGACCACAGTCTCAAAGAAAAACATTAGTAACACACTACGCCGTCATGGATTAAAATCCTGCAGCGTATGCAAGGTCCCCCTGCTCAAGCCAGCGCATGTCCAGGCCCGTCTGAAGTTTGCCAATGACCATCTGGATGATCCAGAGGAGGAATGGGAGAAGGTCATGTGGTCTAATGAGACAAAAATAGAGCTTTTTGGTCTAAACGCCACTCGCCGTGTTTGGAGGAAGAAGAAGGATGGGTACAACCCCAAGAACACCATCCCAACCGTGAAGCATGGAGGTGGAAACATAGTTCTTTGGGGATGCTTTTCTGCAAAGGGGACAGGACGACTGCACCTTATTGAGGGGAGGATGGATGGGGCCATGAATCGCGAGATCTTGGCCAACAACCTCCTTCCCTCAGTAAGAGCATTGAAGATGGGTCGAGGCTGGATCTTCCAGCATGACAACGACCCGAAACACACAGCCAGGCAACTAAGGAGTGGCTCTGTAAGAAGCATCTCAAGGTCCTGGAGTGGCCTAGCCAGTCTCCAGACCTGAACCCAATAGAAAATCTTTGGAGGGAGCTGAAAGTCCGCGTTGCCCAGCGACAGCCCCGAAACCTGAAGGATCTGGAGAAGGTCTGTATGGAGGAGTGGGCCAAAATCCCTGCTGCAGTGTGTGCAAACCTGGTCAAGACCTACAGGAAACGTATGATCTCTGTAATTGCAAACAAAGGTTTCTGTACCAAATATTAAGTTCTGCTTTTCTGATGTATCAAATACTTATGTCATGCAATAAAATGCAAATTAATTACTTAAAAATCATATAATGTGATTTTCTGGATTTTTGTTTTAGATTCCGTCTCTCACAGTTGAAGTGTACCTATGATAAAAAATACAGACCTCTACATGCTTTGTAAGTAGGAAAACCTGCAAAATCGGCAGTGTATCAAATAATTGTTCTCCCCACTGTGTGTGTGTGTGTGTGTGTGTGTGTGTGTGTGTGTGTGTGTGTGTGTGTGTGTGTGTGTGTGTGTGTGTGTGTGTGTGTGTGTGTATATATATATATATATATATATATACACACACACACACATATGCATTCACTAACTAAGTGGCTCTGGATAAGAGCGTCTGCTAAATGACTAAAATTGTAAATGTAAATGAGTGGCCAGACAGAAGCCACTCCTCAGTAAAAGGCACATGACAGCCCGCTCAGAGTTTTCCAAAAGGCACCTAAAGACTCTCAGACCATGAGAAACAAGATTAAACTATTTGGCCTGAATGCCAAGAGTCACGTCTGAAGGAAACCTGGCACCATCCCTACGGTGAAGCATGGTGGTGGCAGCATCATGCTTTGGGGGTGTTTTCCAGCGGCAGGGACTGGGAGACTAGTCAGGATCGAGGCAAAGATGAACGGAGCAAAGTACAGAGAGATCCTTGATGAAAACCTGCTCCAGAGCACTCAGGACCTCAGACTGGGACGAAGTTTCACCTTCCAACAGGACAACTACCCTAAGCACACAGCCAAGACAATGTAAGAATGGCTTTGGGACAAGTCTCTGAATATCCTTGAGTGGCCCAGCCAGAGCCCGGACTTTAACCCAATCGAACATCTCTGGAGAGACCTGAAAATAGCTGTGCAGCGATGCTCCCCATTCAAACTGACAGAGCTTGAGAGGATCTGCAGAGAAGAATGGGAGAAACTCCCCAAATACAGGTGTCCCATGCTTGTAGCGTCATACCCAAGAAGACTCGAGGCTGTAATTGCTGCCAAAGGTGCTTCAACAAAGTATTGACTAACCTCAGGATGCTGAAGAAATTCAGCCTGTCCCAGAGGGCCCTCACAGTGTTCTACAGGAGCACTAATCGAGACCATACTGTCGGGCTGCATCACGGCAACTCCACCGCCGCGGAACGCAAGATGCTACAGAGGGTGGTGCGTTCAGCTGAGCCCACTATTGGGTGCACACTGCCTGTCCATCAGGACACCTACAACACCAGATGTCGCAGGAAGGCCAAGAAGATAAATCAGGGACCCCAGCCATGGCCTGTTCACCCAGCTTCCTTCACTCAGACGCGGGCAGTACGGGAGCATCCGGGCAGTACGGTAGCATCCGGGCAGTACGGGAGCATCCGGGCAGTACGGGAGCATCCGGGCAATAACTGTCCACCGGACTTTTGTAGGGCCCTATACATTTTTTATCCCCCCCCCCCCCCAAAATTCAGTTTCTCCATTTTGTTTTTCACATTTTCTGTGATAGAAAAACTAAATGTAATGTTTTAAGTCCACAACAATGCTTAAACCACATCAGGAGAATACTTTTGAGGTCTGGGAAAAATATAAAACATTGAGTGCGCACCAGCAAGAGTGTTGTTAGCGATGTTTCTGTAGCGCTCATGTGATTGCAAAGTTTGCAAAACAAATTGTCAATAGATTGATGCAAATAATAATGATATTCTGCCAGGTAGGCATATGCTACTTTGTAGTTACCATTTAATTGAGACCGTTTTTGGGAAAGCCTTTCCATCTCTACCAGAAGAAGGTTATCATTAGCATCATCACTAACAGCTACACAAAGTGTAGATCAAAGCGCACCGCACACACAAATGGGCATTCCTGTGCTGTTTCAGAAAGTTGCAGGAAAAAACGAATCACTGATGGATTTCGTTCATGTCTTATGATTAACATTGTTCAGTACCTTTAGTTGACTCCCTACTAAATTCAATACATTCAATTTTAATGTCTGGAGTCTGATTCCGTCCGCGTTCTCCACAAAACAGATTACTTTGTTGGGCACAACATGTGCTTCAAAAGTAGCTAGAACTCATATAGCCTAGATCTCAATATATTTAAAAAAAATCATATTTTCTGGTGCTCCTAAATGTTATATTGTGCTCCTACATTTTTTTGTTGGGAGCACCAGTGCTAACAATTAATTTAGAGCCCTGCACGTACACATTCTTTAACAGGGAAGGGATAAATATAGGTTGCATTGTACATGTGTTAACTGGCACGGGCCTACACATTTTGGCTTGGCCGTACTCTGCACTGCAAAAGACACATTGACAAAACTTTTCTAAAAGCCCACATCTGTAGCAAACAAGGCTGGCCAGAAACCTCACTATAATCTATTTTTTACTCACCACAAACCTCTCGGCGTGCTGCTCCACGTGCTTGAAGGTGGGGATGGAGATGGGCACGGCCTGCTTGTCGCTGTAGTCGTAGCTGAGCTGGGCGGCGCTCTCGTCCCCGGCCTCCAGGCAGTCTGCCTCCTGGGGAGGCACAGACAGCACAGACAGCACCAGCTCCCTCTCCCCGGCCCGGATCAGATCCACCACTTGCTTGTGGGTGGCCCCCTCCACGCTCACCCCATTACTGTGGGACGCAGAGAGTGAGAGAGAGATGGCAGGAGGGGATCAGTGGTGCTCATGTTATGCCTATTCATGGTGGTAGTTTTTGGTTAGGCCTATCCTCCATACACGTGGTCTGCGGTTGTGAGGCTGGTTGGACGTACTGCCAAATTCTCTAAAACGACGTTTGAGGCGGCTTATGGTAGAGAAATTAACATTACATTCTCTGGCAACATCTCTGGTGGACATTCCTGCATTCAGTTTGTCAATTGCACATTCCCTCAAAACTTGAGACATCTGTGGCATTGTGTGTTGTGACAAAACTGCACATTTGAGTGGCCTTTCATTGTACCCAGCACAAGGTGCACCTGTGTAATGATCATGCTGTTTAATCAGCTTAATATGCTACACCTTTTTTTAATAGTTTTAATGGAAACACGATTTTAAAAAAAAGTGGCTGTTTAAACGTTAAGCGAAATTGTCAATGTCACATCCCTACCGTATACCGCCCAAGCATAACTCTCAGTACTGAGGCCAGATGGCAGCAGCATCAGGTGTATTGGCTAATATGCCTCTTAGAACCAAGGGGGTGGAGTGAGGGAGGGTGGGCAGGGGAGCACCTGCCTGCCATACACACTGTTTCCATCATTACTTATTAATTTCAGTAATACCAAACAACAGTGAGGGTGATTGAGACAGAGGCTGAGAGGTGGGGCGGAGATGGAAGAAAAAATGACTTTAATATGAAAGAGAAAGCGAAAGGCAACAAGACTAGAGGGGAAATTAGAATTTTCCTCAAGCTTATTCAGGGGGACTCAAAAGAATGGGAGACAAAAAGGGATAGAGGGTGTAGGTCAGGGGTAGGCAACTGACGGGGGTGGGGGCCACAAAATCATGAGGGACTGATGCACAACCACATTTCGATTCGATTGATCTGAGGGCAGCCAGTTGCCCATCCCTGGTGTAGGATAACCTCTCTCCGCAACACAGCTTTGATGTAACACCTAATCCTTCTATCGATCAGAAAAACAATTCAGTGAAGCATCTGCAAAATGTATCTCATGAATCCCATAAATAGAAACGAGAAGGTAGGGAACTGAATAGGGATGAAGTCAAAATAAAAAGGGACAGTACCAAGAAAGAGTTGTCCAACTTCTTGTTACTACGCTACTTCATAAGACATTTTCACTCATTGACAAGGGTGGATCTAAATTAATTGAAATCGCAAAATAAAACGTTGCCTACATTTTAAGTTTCGCACAATCAATAGGAGGGATTGACATCAGCCTAAAGCCATCTAGTAAAACAGAGTGTGTGCATGCGCAAACAAAACCAACTTTGGTCAACCTATAGGCCTGATCCACTGACATGTGAGCTAGAGGTGTCAGCACTGGGGCAATAACTTGATGACTACACACATCAAGTTTATTTCCAATCACTGGGAAAGCAGTAGTAGCTGGTTAATGTGTCACATGAACACTACTGATCACATGACACAGGCAGAGTGGCTAGTTGATGATATAAATATAGCCTAGTGTTAGGAAGGCAATACCAATGGCACCTCCTTCCCTATATATCGACCAGGGCCCGTAGTGCATTACGTAGGGAATAGGGTGCCATTTGGGACGCATACACCTGTTGATGCCGCAAGTTGGGTCTACCTTGTTCCTCATTCTTTCTCTCGCTTTGTCATTGAGAGAGAAACGTTTGGTATAATTTCCATTTTCCACTCATGTTCCTCAAGAGTAAGGGAAACTAATATTCAAATAAAAGCAGAAACATCTGTGCCCTGAATGGACTGCACTGCTTCTGCAATTACATAAATGCAGTAATGTTGTGTAGGAATATCATATCCTTTGAAACCTCTCATTTTTTTAAAGGATGGTATGAAAAGTTAATTCTCTCCTCTGAGGTTTTGATTAAAATAGGCTATTCTGACTTGAGGTGCTGGCCTTGCCAAAAAAAACATTACTGTTGTACAATGTCTCAAGGGTCCAGCCTTTGCCTGTTTCAACTCCACCCGGACACACTGACTTGCACACAAATACACTCTGAAATAGGGCAATAACAATGCCCATGGCAGGGGAAAACACACAGACTTACACACTACAAGCACCCCATAGGACGGACACACACACTTCAAAGCATGATTTACTGGCTACATAAAGTCACTGGGGTGATTAGCCTGGTTATGGTAGACTGTCAGACAGTCCCCCCCAAAAACACACACAGCTAAGTGGGTTACTGTCTACAGCTGGTTGAGTGACATGTTGAATAACTGACCTCCGCACTGTCATTATCCTGAGGACACTGGAGTGAGAGACAGCCCTGTCTATATAATCTCACATATCCTTTTATTAACTTAATGTTAGCAAAAAACCAATAACAACTGACACTCAGCTCATGATCATAGGATTAAGATCACTTACCGACTGCGCAAACGTAGCTCTCTACCTCTGCCAAATTAGCTAGCTCAAGCTGTACCGTAATTAGCAAGGGTACTAGCTAGCTAAGGTTTGCTAACTACTTACAGATGATGTGTCGGCCAACTGCTGTAGTGAGGTTAACTAGCTAGTTAGCCAATTTGCTAGCTAACGTTAGTGGTGGGGAGTCGATTCCAAAAATAAATCGACTGTTTCCGCTAGGAATCGACTCCTAAGATTCAGTATTTTTGCAACGGAGGGAACTAGTTGCCGTAAGCTACTTCTGAGAAAAAAACTCTTGCATCTTTCACAGCAAAGAAAGAGCGAGCTAGGGAGGGAGGGGGGCATAGCCAGGCATGTCGGCCAGTAGGCAGACAGTCAGAACCGTGCATCAGTAATCAAATGATGTATAGGCTATCGCAAAGCTGTTTTTGTCATTTCTTGGCTTGCAATGTCTCACGCAAGTTCACTAAAGTAGGGGCTATCAATCAGCAGGCTGAGCTATTCTACACGCAACAGAACGAAGACCAAACACACACTAGCATTTTTCATTGTGAATAGAAAAGAGCAGGCGAGCCAGCGAGGGAGAGGATTGTGGCCGGCAGACATGACATTGAAATATCTTCACCTCTAGAATAAAAACCTCCAGGATTCTGTCATAAGAGACAATTAAATTTGAAAAAAAGAATTACAGGGGGGCAGTTTGGAAAAATGAATTGTGTTAGAATTTCTCTCAAATAATGTACATGCTTGGATAATAATTACATAGCCAATGTCTCTAAGAGCTGAAGAGAGCTATAACATTGCAAAGAATAGGCTTATCAGCGTAGAGTGCGCCACATCATCCCATGGGATTCATTTCATTTCATTTACGTCATTTAGCAGACGCTCTTATCCAGAGCGACTTACAAATTGGTGCATTCACCTTATCTGTCAAGGCTGCGCACAGCAGATATATCAGAAATATTCTAGATCCTACATATCACCTATATTCAAACAAAAATAGGCCTTTTATATGCTAAGTTGATGAGCAAATGGCCAGCATTTTCCTCATGTCAGTCCATAGAATGCAAATGTAGTCTTCCTAGTAGGACTCTGCAATAAATGAGGTGGTGTGTATGCGTGCTAATCTATTTCTGCATGTCAGAATTGGAGTCGACTCCAAAAATCCTGGAGTTGTGCACCACTAGCTAACGTTTGCTAGTAGGGGTGTAACGATCCATCTACTACATCGATGTATCGATTTATATTCCTATGATCCAACTACATAAATCTGTGCTCGGCGAGTTGGCCTTTTGGACAACATATATCAATCTAACATCGTTTTAAAATGTAATAAATCGATTGTATCGATACTAGGAAATAACCCATTGGATTTAAGCACGTCAGACTTTATATGGATGTTTTTTCTTAGCACTTTTAATGATAAAGGCTTTAAACATTACTCGATTCAGTCTGCCTATCCGTGACGTCATCGCCCTGCGCCAGCAGCAGCGCAAAGGCGCAAAGACAACAAAACATAGCATGGCGGACGACAGAGGAGAAGCCGACGAGCGAGAAATTATCAAGCCACCATTGCGGTCCTTACAAGAAACAGGAATCTAGGAAACTTCACCTGCACTGTCCAGTATCCAGGTATTTATTTCAGTCACACTGGTTGAATTTTTGGCTAAAAGGTTACTGAATCGATTTCAAGTCACTGAATCGTTTCGGATCGTATCGTTCTAAATGAACCAATATCGTCCTTGAATCGTATCGACAACCACGAATCGTGATACAAATCGAATCGTTGTTAAAACGAATCGTTACACCCCTATTTGCTAGCTAGATTTTAAATCATGAAGAGTATTGACACACCCACGCGTCAATAAGTAATATACAGTGGGGAGAACAAGTATTTGATACACTGCCGATTTTGCAGGTTTTCCTACTTACAAAGCATGTAGAGGTCTGTAATTTTTATCATAGGTACACTTCAACTGTGAGAGACGGAATCTAAAACAAAAATCCAGAAAATCACATTGTATGATTTTTAAGTAATTAATTTGCATTTTATTGCATGACATAAGTATTTGATCACCTACCAACCAGTAAGAATTCCGGCTCTCAAAGACCTGTTAGTTTTTCTTTAAGAAGCCCTCCTGTTCTCCACTCATTACCTGTATTAACTGCACCTGTTTGAACTCGTTATCTGTATAAAAGACACCTGTCCACACACTCAATCAAACAGACTCCAACCTCTCCACAATGGCCAAGACCAGAGAGCTGTGTAAGGACATCAGGGATAAAAATGTAGACCTGCACAAGGCTGGGATGGGCTACATGACAATAGGCAAGCAGCTTGGTGAGAAGGCAACAACTGTTGGCGCAATTATTAGAAAATGGAAGAAGTTCAAGATGACAGTCAATCACCCTCGGTCTGGGGCTCCATGCAAGATCTCACCTCGTGGGGCATCAATGATCATGAGGAAGGTGAGGGATCAGCCCAGAACTACACGGCAGGACCTGGTCAATGACCTGAAGAGAGCTGGGACCACAGTTTTAAAGAAAAACATTAGTAACACACTACGCCGTCATGGATTAAAATCCTGCAGCGCATGC